ACTGGACCAAAGCAAAACTGAAAACCAGCAGGAAAATCACTAAATCCAGTAGCTCCATGACCAATGTCTGAGACTTTCCAAAGGTTCAGCCCCTCCAGCTTTGTGCATGCAGCATACATCTTTCTCTTGGGCTGGTACCACTCCAAAATGCAGCTCTCCTTGGCAGATTGGAGTGGTGGCATAGCCTTTAATCTTAGCACTTGGGAGGCAGAGGGGGGCAGACTTCTGTGACATAAAGACCAGCCCAGTCTACATAGCAAGTTCCAGGATAGCTGGGGCTACTGGGAGACCCTGTCTCAAAAATAAAATGGGGGCCCTTCTTCCAGGACATACCTTGTCTGCAATGATAAACTTCCTCGTGCTCTCTTTCTCTCCACACTTAACATTTTGTATTCCTTCCAGACCCATTTGCTCTTTTTCATAGTATATCTGGATAATATTCACCATTAGTAACCATACCACAGATACAACATTAAGCTATCTTGAAATTTCATCTGCCAAATAAATTAATCCATTACTTTTTCATTTAGCCTCAAGCAAGTTCTTAGGCTGCAGGTAGATGGGAGCCAGATGCTTTGCCAAAATATCCAATTGCTGGTGTTTTAAAAAATTATTTTTATTTTATGTATATGAATGTATTGCTTGCATGTAGGTTGGTGTACCTGTGTAGTGCAATGCCCTTGGAGGTCAGAGGAGGGCACTGAATCCCCTGGAACTGGAGTTGCAGATGTTTGTTAGTTGCCATGTGGGTGCTGGGAATCAAGGTCCTGGGTGCTGAGAACCAGTCCTCTGCAACAGTAGCCAGTGTTCTTATCTGCTGAGCTATCTCTCCAGCCCCACCCCCAAGTATTTGTTTCTATCTCCCTCTGGAATATCTTGACCTCTTCCTGTACTAGAACAGCCCAATTAAGCTCTGCTTATAGCATTCAACTGATTTTCTAGTCCAAACTCCCAAAGTCTTCCACACTCCTCCAAAACACATGGCCGGGTTCTTCACGGCAACTGGTATCAACCTCTGTATTAGTTACTTTCCTACTGTTGTGATAAAACACCAAGACCAGGCAACTTAGAGAAGGAAGAGTTTATTGTGCTTACAGTGACAGAGGGGTAAGAGTCCATCATGACAGGAAGGCATGGCAGGAGACAGCTGGAAACAGCAACAGTGCCCACATCTACAAGCACACACAGGAAGCAGAGAGGCAAATCAGAAATGGGGCAAGGCTATGAACTCTGAAAGCCCAGCTCCAGTGATGTGCTTCCTCCAGTATGGCCGTATCTCCGAAACCTCCTCAAACAGTACCACCAAATGGGACCAAGTATTCTAATACTTGGGCCTGTGAGGACATTCTTTATTCAAACCATCCCAGTTGGAGTTCAAACCTAGGCCTACCTATTTCCTGAGTCCTGATTACCATTGTTTTTATTTAGTTTAGTTTTTGAGATAACTCACACTATCTCTTTATAGCCCTCTATAGCCCAGACTGGACTGGAACTCACTATAGAGAGCACAGACTGATTTGACTTGTGGCAATTCTCATCTCAGCCTCCTGAGTGCTTGAATTAGGAGGTATGAGCCTGCCACTCCTGTTTTTTACATTTTTTTTTTTGTTGTTTTTTTGAAGCAGGGTCTCCCTGTAGCCCCAGCTGTCCTGGAACTCAGTATGTAGACCAGGCTGGCCTTGAACCCATAGAGATCCACCTGCCTCTGCCTCCCAAGTGCTGGGACTACAGGCATGTGCCACCACACCTGGCATTTTTTACGTTTTCTAATTTTATTATAGTTTCATTTTATTTTTCTGTTTTGTATGTTTGTATGTGGTATATGTATCTGTTCATGTACATGTGTGGGGTTACGTGTGAATGTTGTGGTGCATTTATATGTTCATGTATGTATGTGGTGTTTGTATATGTCCGTGTGCATGCATGTGGTTGTATGTGTGATATATGTATATGTATGTGCAATCATAGTGTATGCAGATGTCATGTATGTGTGTGGGTCTTTGTATATGTTCATGTGTGTATGAGTGAGCATTTGGTTGTGCGTGTGGTGTATGTGTATGTTCATGTGTGCATGTTTGTATGAGGTGTACACATATGTTCATGTGTGCATGTTTGTATGAGGTGTACGCATATGTTCATGTGCATGCATGTACATGTGGAAGCCAGAGGTCGACAGCAGGTGTCTTCTTCCACCTTAATATTTTGGGATGGGATCTTCTACTGAATCTGGATCTCACTGATTCATCTGACCAGTGAGTACCTATCCATCTCTCACCTCTTCTAACCCCCAGCCACCATTGCTGGGGGTTCTGACTGTGCCCAGCTTTTACGTGGGTTTTGGGGGTGGAACTCAGGTCCTCAAGCTTACATAGCAAGCACTTTACCCACTGAGCCTGCTCCCAGTCCCTTGTTTTTGGTTTTTAAATTGGATTGAAAATGACATAAACTAGCCGGGCGTGGTGGCGCATGCCTTTAATCCCAGCACTCGGGAGGCAGAGGCAGGCAGATCTCTGTGAGTTCAAGGCCAGCCTGGTCTATATAGTGTATTCCAGGCCAGCTGGGGCTACCAGGAAGGAGACCCTGTCAGAGAGAGAGAGAGAGAGAGAGAGAGAGAGAGAGAGAGAGAGAGAAAAGAAAGAAAGAAGAAAGAAAGAAAGAAAGAAAGAAAGAAAGAAAGAAAGAAAGAAAGAAAGAAAGAAAGAAAGAAAGAAAAAGAAAGGAGACAAACTTTCTCTGTGGTGCTGGGGATCTACTCTGGATCCAGTCTGAGGCCCAGTTCTTGTTAAGCACTGAGCCACACTCTCAGCCTAAATTGGCCACTTTAAGGTATTCAATTCAGGGTTTGGGGTGGGCTCAGCAGTAGAGTGCCTGCCTAGCATGCACAAAGTCTGAATTTGATCCCCAGAACTTTTTAAAAAAATATTTTATTTATTATTTTTATTTCATGTATATGAGTGTACCTGCATGTAAGTGAGTGCACCCGTGCCGTGCAATGCCACGGAGGTCAGAAGAGGGCTTCAGAGTTCCTGGGTACTGGAGTTAAGGACGGTTTGTAGCCGCCATGTGGGTGCTGGGAATCTAACCTGGGTCCTCTGCAAGAGCAGTCAGTGCTCTTAATCGCTGAGCCATCTCTCCAACCCCAGTCCCCAGCACTTTTAAAACTAAATGTAGTAAGGCCAGGGAGCTGGTTCAGTACGTAAAGACACTTGTTGCCAAGCATGATAGCCTGAGTTCAATCTCTAGGATCCATTTGGTATGAGGAGAGAACTTATTCCTGCAAGTTTTCTCTGACTCCCACATGCACACTGTGGCATGAACACATACATGTGTGGTGGTGGTACATGCCTACAATCCCAATACTCATGCCCTGGGATGCACACAAGCTCACACACATACAAAATAAAATTTTAAATGTGATAAATTAAAGAAACACTATTGAACTGTGATTTTTATTCATTTTACCCAACGAATAAAATCAGCCCGTCACAAATCCACACTGGTGCCTCAGTGACACTCCTTTGCTAAGCACACCCAAGACCTTGGATAATCCAAAGAACTTCAAAACATCAAAAAGTAGGGACTGGAGAGATGGCTCAGCAGTTAAGAGTGCTGCTGATGGTGCTAGCCTGAACCCCAGCATTCTCCAAGCAGAGGTGGGAGGACGACCAGTTCAAGACATTCTCTACGTAGTGAGGTCCAGGCCAGTCAGGGCTACATAACAAAACTGTCTCAAAATAATAATAATTCTAAAAGCCAAGTGTGTTCCACACCTGTAACCTCAACACCCAGGTGGTTGAGGCAGATGGATGGAGAGTCTGAAGCCAGCCTGGACTATCCTCCCACAGCCTATACTAGCTCTATACTGGGTAGACATCTCCTGTCTTTGTTGTTGTTTTGTTGATAGATTGGTCCATTTCTGTGCTGGAGATTAAACCCAGTTCATGCTAAGCAACTGGTCTACCACTCTATTTTAAAAGATTTATTACTTTTGATTATGTGTTATGTGTTATGCATGTGTCTCTGGGGGCTGGGGGTATGTGCATGTGAGTGCAGCTGTGAGCAGAGGCCAGAGGCATGGGATTTCCTGGAGCTGGAGTTACAGATGGTTGTAAGCTGTCTGATGTGAGTGCTGGGGACTGAACTAAGGTCCTCTGGAAGAGCAGCAAGTGCTCTTAACTGCTAAGCCATCTCTCCAGCCCTCATCTGTATTTTTGAACTGGTAGAGAAAACAGAGAAGCATCTAAGCCTTTAATAATTGAATGAAATTCTCCAGAGGAAACTGTCTTAGTTTCAACTTACTACCACAAACAACAAAAACACAGCAAGCAGGAGGGGGCAAGATGGCTCAGTGGGTAAAATGTGCTTGCCACCACACCTGACAACCTGAGTTCAATCTCCAGAACAGCCCCACTGGAACTCACCATGTAGACCAGGCTGGCCTTGAACTCACAGAGATCCGCCTGCCTCTGCCTCCCAAGTGCTGGGACTACAGGCATGTGCCACCATGCCCGACTGAGACCTTTTTTAAAAAAAGATTATTTTTTAGATTAAAAAAAATTGTGTATTCATGTGTATCTGTGTGGGGGTATATGCACCAAACCCAGGTCCCCTGCAAGAGCAGCAAGCCTAATTGCTGAACTATGTTCAGCTGCAGTGGAGACCTGCTTGCCTCCCTGTGGAGACCTGCTTGACTTTCTGTGGAGACTGGCTTGCCTCTCTGTGGAGACCTGCTTGACTCTCTGTGGAGACCGACTTGACTCTCTGTGGAGACAGGCTTGCCTCCCTGTGCGGAAGATGGCAGAGATGAGCTGCCTCACCCTGAACCGGTGAAAGGTTATCTCTTGGTGGGTAAGCAGGAAAGGTCAGGCCATGGCCACCTCCCCTCTGCTCAGGGAGATAATGGAGGTCACCTGCAGCCTGCAGGCGGGGCTGGGGAGCCAAGTCGTATAAATAGGGGACCCGAAGGCAGTGCAGACTACATGCTAGGCATTTCTGATTGAACATGGCCAAGCGCGAGGTGCTGCTGCTGGCTGCCTGGGCGCTGATCGTGGTGCTGGGGCTGCAGGCTGAGGCGCGCCCCGGGTCCTATGGGGTGAAGCTTTGCGGCCGCGAGTTCATTCGAGCAGTTATCTTCACCTGTGGAGGCTCTCGGTGGCGCCGAGAGGACCTCCTGGCCCACGACTCTCTGGGTAAGTGTGGAGGGAAGGCGGGCAACCTGGAACATGTGGCTGGCTGGGCCCAAGGGGTCCATGACAGAGGCAAGGAGGAGTTGAATGAGCCAGACAGGCTGCAAGCAGTCATGCCAGCCAGCAGGAGAAACCCACATTTAAAGCCAACCTGGACTGCAGAATGAGACCCTGTCTCAAAAAGTCAAAGGAAAAAGGGGGGGGGGTTGAAGGAGTGGGCTCCTGTCCTGACCACACACAGCTGGGACCCCTGCCCAACCTTTAAGCCATTGGTGAACGTGCAGCACAGCCACAGAGCTGAAGTGAACAGACTCCAGCCATCCTCAAGGGCTGGAAATCAGAGAGCCATCAGGCCACCCTGTTCCAAGTGCTGGCTGTGTGCACAGCATTGAACAGGACTGCTGCTCTCAATGTGCCCAGTGCTCACCATAGCTAAGGGAAACAGCCTAGACACCGGAGATTGACAAAGGTGCTGACATATGGCTTGATTTGTCACCTCCCGGGTGACCCCTTTCCAGCCACTGCTATCCCTTGCTGAGACTATTCACGGTTAAATGGAAGACCCACTTGGCAGACCTTGCAGAATTCTTTAACAATGCTGAGTGTTCAGTGTGGTTGGAGAAAGAGAGACTGGGCAGGAGAGCAGGGTTCCTCAGCTGCAAAGGCTCATAGCAGGCATGGTGTTTCATGGCTGGGATCCCAACACTCTGGGAGGCTGAGGCAGGATACCATGAGTTTGAGAGCAGCCCTGGCTACACAGTAAGTTCCAAGCCAGCCTGAGTTACAGAGTGAGACAGTCAAAAATCATACCAAAACAAAAATGGGGGAGAAATGGGAGTGGAAATGATGGAAGAGAAGTCGGTGGGTGGATGATGGATGACGGATGATGGATAGGTGGATGATGGATGATGGATGACGGATGGGTGGATGATGGATGACGGATGACGGATGGGTGGATGATGGATGAATGGATGGGTGATGGGTGGTGGATGGATGTATTGATGGATAGATGAATGGGTAGATGGACAGGAATATGCTTGTGTTAAAATTCTGTCACCAAGTAGCTGTGTATCCTCATGCAAGCTCTCTGAGGAACCACAGTCTCATTTGGACAGTAGAGTGATAATAACAGCAACGCATGTGGCTGTTACTGAAAGGAAGGAGTTAATTCAGTAAAGTGCTTGAGACAGTATCCAGCACAGCAACGAACAATGCCCCTTCAAGTGTTCATATGCGTCCACCATTACTATGTTTTTATTGGTATTAAGTCTTCCACTCCTGATAAACTAAAGAAAATTGGAGTTATTGTTCCCTCACTTTGTAAGAGAAGAAACTGAGGGTCAGAGAAGCAAATTCACTTATATAATAACACAGGGAGACTGATTCTCAAACATACACCTTTAAACTAGGTCTTCAATAAAGAATCAGTGACAGGAAAGTCAGGCTTAGCATTGAAACTGATGGGGGGGTCAATATTCAAACCCAGGACTGAGAGGAATGGAATCTTGAGCCACCAGGCTGATTGCCCCAGACAGGAGCCAGCATTCTGGGCTGGCAGTGGCTGTGCTCTGAGCCCTAACTCTTCTTTCATGCTTTGTAGGGGACTCCTTCCAGGAAGCCAGAGCCAATGCAGACAGCCTGGCCAGTGAACTGGATGAAGGTGTGGGCTCTAGTGAGTGGCTGGCCCTGACCAAGTTCCCCCAGGCTTTTTATGGTGGTCAACCCGGCTGGCAGGGGACCCCTGGGGTGCCTCGGGGCAGCCGAGACGTGCTGGGGGGCCTTTCCAGCAGCTGTTGCAAATGGGGTTGTAGCAAGAGCCAGATCAGCAGCTTGTGCTAAGACCCGGCTGGGTAGTGGGGAAGCGACCAGCACCCCCGCCGCCTGTCAAACTCTGCCTCATGTTCAGCTGCCTCCCAGAGCCCGGTTGCTGAGGGTTCAGCTGTCCCGGCACTGATCCCTGCTCCCACTACGTCCAACCTCCGACCTCTGCCAACCTATCCTGACCCTGGTCCGGGCCACGCTCCTATGGAGCCAAACGGTGACTTGATCTTCAGAGCTGAGTTCTTCTAAGTCCCCAGAGACTCCAGGTCCCCGCTCTACCCAAACTGGCCTGTCCCCAATTGCTGCCGCTGTCCCCTGAACAGTCCAGTGCACCCTCGTCTCGACTCCTTCCTTGTTACCACATCCGAGCGCCCCGCTGCGGACTCCAGGAGTGGGGGCGCGGGGTCCTCACCACTCAAACTTCCACACTGTAATAAACACTTAGTTCCGAGCACTTGCACGTGTGCTTGTGGTTGATGGGGGTGGGTGGGTTTGGGGATTTCCCGTCCGGGCGGGGGCGGCTTCCGACCCGCGGGAGGCAGCGCCTCAGGCCGGGGCGGTGTCACTCGGTTCCCGGGAGCCATGCGCCTGTCCCAGGCTGTGCGCCTCGCGCCGCTGGGATTGCTGCTGCCGCTGCTGCTGCTGCTGCCCCGGACGCGGTCCCACCGTGAGTAGCTTTGCGCGTGGCCTGGACCCACGGAGACGCAGGTGCAGGGCGGCGCGAGTGGCTGGGCGACAACAGGATATTGCTAGCGCGGCGAGGTGCCGAGCGCCCCCTTCCCGCTGCTCAGCTCTGGAAGGGACCCGGACTGTCTCGGCAATGTCCCCAGGTCCCGGCTCCGTGGCGTAGCGCCCGCCCAGCGTGTGCCAGCCCCGGGCTCCCGGTGGCGCGGGGCTGGACACTTCCACAGTCCGCGGGAACCTGACCGCGGTCCTCCGGACCCTCTGCGCCCTCTGCAGGCAGCCTCGGGCCACTGCAGTGCTACGGTGCCGGACCCTTGGGGAACCTGAACTGCTCCTGGGAGCCTCTAGGGCTCCCAGGGACACCTGTGCTGCACCACCAGAGTCAAAAATAGTGAGTACCCTGGAGTGGTCTGGGAAAACTGAGGCACGGGAGGTGACCACTCAGATTTTAACCTGCTCTGGCAGAAAGCACCCTGGAGTCCAGGTCCCCTCAGAATTTCTTTCGCACTCTCAAGCTCCCCAAAGCAAGTTCCCTTCATTTCCTTTCTGTGTGACTCTGGACTAGTCACCTTCCCTCTTTGAGCACAAACCCCCCAGCCCCCCCCCACCCTCCCGTCCCCCCCCCCCCCCCCCCATCCGCTTGCCTCTCCTCTTAAATGATAGTAATGATGGCATGTGCCTCCCAGGGATCAATGTGGTACCACAAGGCAAAAAGAAATCTTATACTATGAAAATGGTTTTATGTTGCTGTGTGACCGTAGGCAAGTAGCCTAGCTTCTCTTAGTATATAAAAAAGTCTCTCTCTCTCTCTCTCTCTCTCTCGCTCTCACACACACACACACACACACACACACACACACACACACACACCAGTCTAAGCCAGCATGGCGGTACACATCTGTAGTCTCAGCACTTGAGAGGTGGAGGTATGAAAATCAGCTCAAGGCCAACTTTGGCTTTAAAGTCAGTTTGAGGCCAGCCTGTGCTATATGAGATCCTGTTTCAAAATACAAAAATGGACCTTTGGCATGGTGGTTCATGCCTTTAATTCCAGGACTCAGGAATTAGAGGCAGGTGGATCTCTGAGCTCAAGGCCAGTCTGGTCCACATAGTGAGTTTCAGGCCAGCTGGACAGGGAGACCCTGTCTCAAAACCAAGCAAGCAAACAAACAAAATAATGAGCCTAGTGCTTGGACTCACCGGAGTGAAAGGGGCAGAGCAAAGCTGGTCTTGGGATTCTAGGGGACACTGTGTTTCTTTTTTCTTCTTTCTTTCTTTCCCCCTTTTAGATGCAGGGTCTCATTATGTAGCCCTGGCTGACCTGGAACTCGCTATGTAGACTAGGCCAGTCTTAAACTCACAGAGAAGTGCCCCACTCTGCCTCCTAATCACGGAGTGCTGGGGTTAAAGACCTGGGCCACCATCCTAGGTGTCAAGTGTGAATTTCTTAGAAATCACATGTGAAAACAATTTCAGTTGTGCTAAGTGAGGGGCTAGTGAAAAGGGCTTTGGGAGATAGGAAGGGGTATGCGAGTGTTTTCTGAAACCTGTCTCATTGTGTGAAACCGGCCTCTTGCTCTTGGTCTTCCTGCCTCAGCCTTCTGGGTGCTAGGATGACAGGTGTGAACTACCGCATTTGGCCTGCCACTGAGCCCTTTCATCAAGTGCATATATTACTGTTCATTCTGTAGAAGAGGCTACAAGCTGAGGCTGAGGGAAGCTGCTTGCCTCAAGCCATACAGCTCTGGAACAGCAGAACTGGGCTTGAAGCCCCACCAGAGCAGGATGCCAGGTGGGGATAGTACAGGAGGCTTAGCCCATGGCTCAGGCTGTGTGCACATGGCTCATCTCTACATCTCTCCTCAGTCATTCGAACAGAACTCAGGAGGTGAAGGTGCCTGCCAGGCAGAGCTGGGTGACCATTCCTCGGGAGCAGTTCACGATGTCCGACAAAATCCTCATCTGGGGGACCCAGGAGGGCCAACTTCTGTGGCCCCCTATCCTTGTGAACCTGGAAACCCAAAGTAGGGCAACAGGAGGGCAGGGGCAAGGTGCAAGAAGGGATGCTGCGGCCAGAGGGCTGGGACTATGCCAGAGGGTGGGGCTTGGTAGAGGGAGTGTGGCTATAGGCCCTGACTTAGAGCACTCTGCCCCCCCATCCTCAGTGAAACCGGACACCCCCCAGCTCTTCCCTGATGTGGACTTCTCTGTGGATGAGCTCCTGGAGGCCACTGTACGATGGGTGCCCCCAAAGTGGCCATCTCATAAGGTTCTTATCTGCCAGTTCCAATACAAAAGATGCCAGGAGGAAGAGTGGACCGAGGTGAGTGTTGCCTCCTTCCGCTCTATCCGAATCTGAGAGCAGTGCAGGCTCGTTCCGCACCTGTTGCAGTCACCCCCAAATCCTACACAAAAGGCCTGGCAGGCAAACTTGTTCATGTGTTTGTTGTTTTTAAATTTTATTTATTTATTTATTTATTTGTTTGTTTATTTATTTATTTATTGTCTTTTTGAGACAGCGTCTCCCTGTAGCCCCAGCTGTCCTAGAACTCACTATGTAGACCAGGCTGACCTTGAACTCACAGAGATCTGCCTGCCTCTGCCTCCCAAGTGCTGGGGTTAAAGGCATGCGCCACCATGCCTGGCTCCATTTTTTTGTTTTTATATGTATGAGTGTTTTACCTGCATGTATGTGAAGTGCACCTGTGTCTTTCAATGCTGGTGGAGGTCAGAAGGAGGCATCAGATCTCCTGGAACTGGAGTTACAGACAGTTGTTAGCTGCCATGTGCTGCGAACTGAACTCTGGTCCTCTACAAGAGCAGCTAGTGCTCTTAACTGCTGAGCCGTCTCTTTAGCCCGTTTGTTGTTTTTGGAGATGGAGTCTGGTTGTATAGCCCAGTATGGCCTCAAAGTCATCATCCTTCTGCCTCAGCCTCCTGAGCACTGGGATGGCAGGTTCCCATTCCACCAGTGGCCTACTACCAGACTATCTTGACCAACTAACATTTTCCAATCAAAATAAACCTCAGGAGCATTCTAGAAGACTCAGTGGGTAAATGCTTGCCCACAAAGCACAAAGACCTCAGTTCAATCCAGCACCCATGTAAAAAGCTGGGCATGGTGGTACTTATAACCCCAGCCCTGGGGGAGGCAGAGACTGGTGGTCCAGCCAGCCTAGACAATTAGTTACAAGATCAGTGAGACACCTTATCTCAAAAAGTAAAGTGGAGAGTCACAGAGATGATTCAGTGGGTAATGGGGCTTCCCCATCCTTTCCCCAGCTGGAGCCACAGCTCAAGACCAACCAGCTGGTCCCTGTTGAAATACAGGACTTGGAACCTTGCACTGGTTACCAGGTATCAGGCCGCTGCCTAGTGGAGGATGGATATCCCTGGGGAGAGTGGAGCCCAGGCCTGTCCTTTCAGACTCCATCCTCAGGTGAGGACGTCCCCACTTGCACCCCTGGCCCTGCCCCTCCCAAGGCCTGGGTAGTCTTGTCCGCCTAACTGTTCCTGCCTTTCCTGGTCCTGGCCAGCTCCTGAAAATGTGTGGGTATCCAGGAACTTCTGTGAGACATCTGGCACACAGACAGCCCTGCTCCTCTGGGAGGTAAATGTTAGTCCAAAGGCGGTTCTCTCCAGGGGTCTGAAGGTCTTCTGCTGCCCCCTGGAGGTTGCTTTAAGGATTGGGCATGGGGGAAGTCTCCAAGGCCAATCTGCTTCTCCCAGAGCCAAGATGTGGGGTGGGAGCCATGTCCCAGCCAGGTCTAGAGTGAAAACAGGAGCTTCCCATGGTGTAGCCTGTGGACCAAGATTCAAGGTGACCCAAGAGTGTGATCCCAACTGCTCCAGAGGGTGAGGCAGGAGGAGTGCATGTTTAAGGCCAGCCTGGGCTACAGAGTGAGGCCAAGGCCAGCCTGAGCACCTTAATCTGAAAAATAAAAAGTAAAAAAATAAAAAATAAATTTAAGGGCCAAAAGCTAGGGATGGTGGTGCACACTTTTAATCCCAGCACTTAGGAGGCAGAGGCAGGCAGGTCTCTATGAGTTCTAGGCTAGCCAGGGCTGTATAGTGAGACCCTGTCTAAATAAATGCATAGATAAATAAAAAGGCTCAGGCTCAGTGGCAAAATGCTTAGCAAGAATGAGTGAGGTCCTGGGTTCTGTGCCCCCCCCCCAGTACTGAAAAATAGCCTGTTGAACATCTCATATGCACTAGGTACCGTGGAATTGTGACTTTTGGTAAACCAGGCAAGGAATGAAACAAAACTTGTGACTTCTTGAGCCACACAGTTGAATGTCATCCACTTACAGCCACACAGCCTTTAATGGTCCTATCTACCGGGGTTAGAGAGATGGCTCAGTGGTTGGGAGCACTGACTGCTCTTGTAGAGGACCCAGGTTCGATCCCCAGCACCCACATGGCAGCTACGAACCGTCCTTAACTCCAGTTCCAGGGGAATCTGAAGCCCTCTTCTGACCTCCGAGGCATTGTACTACACGGGTGCACTCACATACATGCGGGCAATACACTCACACACATAAAATAAAAATAATAAAAAATATATAAAAAAGAAATCAATGGGAGAGCAATTTGTAAATAAAACTTAAAAAAGGGTATAGGCAGGCATGGTAGCACACGCCTTTAATCCCAGCACTCAGGAGGCAGAGGCAGGTGGATCTTTGTGAGTTCAAGGCCAGCCTGGTCTACATAGTGAGTTCCAGGACAGCTGGGGCTACAGGGAGACCCTGTCTCAAAAAGACCAAAAAAAAAAAAGGTCCTATCTACCACGTGTGTGTGTGCATGCATGTTATATTTGTGTATGTGTGTGTGTGTGTGTATGTGTCCTAGTTACCTGTCTGTTGCTGTGCTAAAACACCAAAACCAACTTGGAGAGGAAAGGGTTTATTTATTTATTTATTTTACATTTCTGAGAAAATTTTATTGCCCTTTTGGATAGAATTTGTTTGCCAGGCAGGACGATCCCATCACACTTCTGCTGGAACCAGCGCATGGCCTCCTCTTTGCTGATTCTGTTTGGCCCCAATGCAGCCTGTCCTGTACTTCTTGTCCAAGATGCTGAAACCTGGCCTACCCAGCACCACATAGAAGTCCAGGCCATAGATACGAAAGCTTGGATTGTATTTGATGCCCAGATCAATATGTTCCTATATTCCAAAACCAAAGTTTCCAGTATTGGAGAAGTTATTTTTTCGTATATTCCCACACCTTCAGACCTTTCTCCAGGATTTCTTCTGCCTTGGCCCCATGGACTGTGCAGTGAACTGCAATCTTTTCATTTCTCCTGATGCCAAAGGACCTGACAGTGTATTGAGCTTTGGAAAATACAGGTGTCTGGCCTGTGAGCTGCTGCAACACCTTCACTGCCGGGGTCAGTCTGTCCTCAGTCTCCCCCACACAGATGTGGAGGCAGAGCTTGCAGATGCGAAGTTCCCACGTGGGATTCTCCTTTTTATCTTGATCCTGCACCATGATGGAGATCAGGAAGAGGGGAAGGGTTTATTTTATCTTCCTCTGCTACATACAGTCCATCATTGAAAGAGTCAGGGCAGGAACTGACCAGAGACCATGGAGAAGTTCTGCTTACTGGCCTGGCTGCTCCCCCTGGCCTGTTCAGCTACTATTCTTTTTTTTTTTTTTTTTTATTTGAGACAAGGGTCTCTCTGTAGTCTCAGCTGGCCTGGAACTTGCTTTGTAGACCAGGCTAGCCTTCATCTCTGCTTCCCAAATGCTGGGATTAAAGGCATTCACCACCATGCCCAGACTTAGCTACTATTTTTATACAGCCTGGACCCACCTGCCCAGGGATGGTACCATCCATAGTGGGCTGGGCCCTCCTACATCAATTAACAATTAAGAAAATGTCCCACAGGCATGCCACAGGCCAAGCCAATGGAGGTAAAGCCTCCTTTGACTGTCTCTCTTCTCAGGTGTCAAATTGACAACTAAAGCTAACCAGCAGAGTATGAATTCACCATACGTGTGTATGTGTGTATGTATGTGTGAATATATGCACACATGCATGTTATATATATATGCATGTGTGCATACGTACATGTGTGCGTTTCTGTTTCCATTTATTCATGTATATGCATGGGTATATTGTACATATGTGCATGAATGTGTGTGTGCATGTGCTTATTCATATGTCTATGAATGTATGCGCACACTGCACACGTGTATCTTGTACCTGAATGTGAGTTCGTGTATGTGGTGCATGCATGTGTGTATGTGTAGGAATGTGTGACTGTATGAGTGTATGTGTATATCTGTGTATGTATATATGTATATGTACATGCATTTCATGTGTATGTCTGCATGTATTTTATTGCTGGGCTTGGGATCCAACCCAGGGCCTCCTGCATGCTAGGCAAGCACCCTGTCACTGCCCTAAACCCCTAACCTTCAGACTTATTTGTATTAGCTGGCCTTACAATGAAGGGTTGTCTTAAACCATGTGGCTGGTAGTTGGCAAACCCCAGGTCACAGCACCACTGCTTTAGATAGATACTTTGTAATGTTTCTTTTCTTTTTCTTTTTTTGGTAAGTCTTGCTATGTACTCCAGCTGGTCTCAGTCTCACTGCAATCTCACTGCCTCAACCTCCCAAGTTTTGAGATTTACAGACATGAGCCACTTTTCTCTGTGAAACATCCCTTTGCTACGCCACAGTTAAACATAAATAATGTGGTGTGTGTGTGTGTGTGTGTGTGTGTGTGTGTGTGTCCCCAAATTACAGCATTGCATAGACAACAGGAAAAAGTTGACATAGAGTTACAAAACATTCATTTCTTGGGCCAGAGAGATGCCACTCATGCCTGACTACCTGAGTTCCATTCCCAGAATCTATGTAAAGGTAGGAGAGAATGATTGCAGTTATCCTCTGACCTTCACATGCACACTGTGCTACTTAAATCCACATGAGCATCATGCACTCAGTAACAACAAACAAAATCAGCATTCTGTTCACCAGGATGAAAATTCAACATATATAAATCCAATAACATTGCTTCAACATACATGAAACAAAATTTGACAAAACTATATGAGAACTATATGAATCCATAACTATCATTGGAGTTTTGGGGTGGTTTTTGCTTTGTTTTGTTTTGTTTTGTTTGAGACAGGGTCTCACTCTGGAGCCCTGACTGGCCTGGAACTAGTTATACAGACCAAGCTGGCCTCAAACTTGCCCCTGGCAATTCTCTTGCTTCTGCCTCCTGTGTGCCACCAGGCCTGGCATTTTGAGAGGATTTAACACATCCTTCTCAGGAATTGTACAGGTCGACATCTAAATGATTTGAATACATGCTTATAAACTCAAAGTAATGGATTTCCATGGGAAGAATTGGTTTTTGTTTTGTTCTGACAGGGTCTCCCTAGCTCCAGCCTGCCTGGATCTCACTATGTAGACCAAGCTGGCATCCATCTCACTAAGATCCACCTCCCTTGATCTCCCAAGTGCTGGGATTAAAAATGTGTGCCACCACGCCCGACATCCATGGGAAGAATTGGATTGTGCATCCTCTTCATGTAAAGACAGCATGCTTGCCCAAATCAGCTAGTTCACAGAACCAAGTTCCAGGAACTTCAAAGGGGTCAAGTGATGCAAAGCAGACCATGATGTTCTCTACTCAGATCACAGACTGTAGCTTGGCATGATGTCTTACACCTGCAATCCCAGCACTCTAAGGGGTTGAGGTAGGAAGATTACCGAAGCTCAAGGCCAGCCTGGAATTCAAGGCCAGTGAAGGAGTACACAGTGAGACCCTGCCACAGAAAAAAAAAAAAAAAGGAAGAGAAAAAAAATACAGACTGTGAGGCTTTTATAACAAACTGCTTGAGCCAGGTATAGTGCGCACATGCCTTTAGTCCCAACACTCCAGAGGCAGAGGCGGGAGGATGTTTGTGAGCTTGAGGCTAGCCTGGTCTACTTAGTGACTAATGTAGGCCCCTACATTCTTATTGGTGTGGCTCAGTGGTAAAACTTCCCCTAGCATGTCCATCCTAGTACTCATAAAACAAGTGTGGTAGTGCACACCTGTCATTCCAGCACTGAGGAGGTGGAGGCAGGAGAATCATCCTCAGCTACCTAGTGAGTTTGAGGCCAGCCTGGTATAGGTGAGATCCTGTCTCATAAAAAGTGCCCAGGATTTCCATGAGTTTGAGGCCAGCCTGATTTACATACCAAGTTGTAGGCCAGTCAGAGCTGCATAGTGAGACCCTGTCTCAAAATTTAAAAAAGGAAAAAAGAAAAAACAAGACAAGAAAAAAAGGGGACAGTGACATGGCTCAGTGATGGCCAGAGTTTAATCTCTGGAGCCCACATACAAAGCTGGATGCGGCAGCACTCACCTGTAATCATCTTGTACATGGAGACTCTCCCAGCTCTTCGGCCTGCCTGCCTGGAGCACTAGGCAGAAATGAGAGACCCTGCCTCAAACAAGACAAAAGCAGAGAACCAACTCCTGGAGAGTTGTCCCCTGACTTCTGCACACCCACATGGGGTGAACGCTAAAGAAACAGAAAAGAATTTGATACTTAAAGATAAATATCTGTATATGTGAGTGTATGTGTGGTGTGTGCTCAAGCATATGTGTATACATGTGGAGGCCAAAGGACTCTTGTCTCTCAAGGCACTTCCCACTGTGTTTTTTGATATGATCATTCATTTTTTCCTGAGACTTACCAAGCAGGCTAAGCTAGCTGGCTAGTGAGCCCAAGGATCCACCTGACTGGATCTCCCCAGCGCTGAGATTATGAGTGCACCCCCATGCCTGGGTTTTTAACATGGTACTGGAAGTCAAACTCAGGTTCTCATGCTTGTATAGCTAGCACTTTGCCAACTGAGCTACCTCCCCAGCCTTTGATAAATATTTTCAAAGAATCAAGGCAGCTAGTCAGGTGTGGCGGCACATGCCTTTCATCCTAGCACTTGGGAGACAGAGGCAGAACTCTGTGAGTTCGAGGCCAGCCTGATCTACATAGTGAGTTCCAGGCCAGCTGGGGCTACAGGGAGACCCTGTTTCAAAAAATAAACAACAAAAAAAAGAATCAAGGCAGCAAATTGAAACGCCAGGACCAAGTGTGCATTTGACAGTCTGGTATGATGATGTCATGAAGGCTAGGTTTAGAGAACAGGGCAAGGCAGGGTCAACAGATGCAGGATTGAACCCTGTCTTTTATGTAAAGTATTAGTATCGTGCTCACTGTAGATTTGTTTTTCTTTTCTGAGACAGGTTGTCACATAGCCCAGGCTGGCCTCAAACTTGTGGCAATCTCTTACCTAAACACTGGGATTACAGGTGTGAATCACACACTTGACTCCCCCTTAAACTTCTTACCCACAAGTCTTCTTTCCCTTCCCAGCCCTCTTCTGTGAGCCCCTCTACATCTGTAGCATAAGTCTCTCACTGTGGCATACTGCCTATCTCTCAGATGACCCACCAACATGAATAGTGGGCACTTAACCACAGGGAAATGCTAACCATGATTTCTGCTCCCAGCAGGCCCTGGGGCCCTGTGTGCAGGTAACTTACAGAGTTTGGTATGGGGTTGGAAATTCTACTGTGACTCAGGAAGTGGTCTCTTGTTGCAAGTCTTCTATCCCTGCATGGGCAGAGTGGGCTGCAGTGTCCGTAGTCAACACCACCAGCTGGGCACATCTCACCAACCTGTCTTTGATCTGCTTGGGTAAGACACCATGAACTTCCTCTGTCCAGAACTTTGGAGGGACAAGATGACTTTCCAGAGTGGACAACCAAGATGTCTGGTCTCCTCCCTCCTCTAGCTCCGGAATCTGCCCCCCATGGTGTGGTGGTCAGCAGCATTGATCAGGGCCCAAAGCTGCTGGTGACCTGGCAACAGGAGATCCAGGAACCACAGAAGTACGTGGTGGACTGGGCTCCAGATGGGGACAGCCCAGAGAACATCAGCTGGATCCATCTCCCCGCTGGAAACCACAGCACTCTATTACCAGGTTAGGTCCCAGAATACCTGGGATCTTATTTTCACTAGTACATCTGCTGTTGCTGTAACAATATGCCAGAGACTGGGCACTTAAAAGAATAGCAGTTTATTTAGCTCACCTTTGGGCATGGTGCTGTGTTTGCTGACTCTAGTGGGCACTTTCTGGCTATATTATAATATGGCAGACGGTGCCATGGTTGGAGCCTAAGCCAAATGGAGAGATCACATGGTGATACAGGAAGCCAGGGAAGGTTCAAATTGTAACATTATGGACAAAAGTTCTAGGGACCACTGAAGACTTCTGGCCCGGGGTAACATACGGAAGTTGGTCTCAGGTATAAAAGATGTGAGAGAGCATGAGGTGCAGGGCAAAAATTGAGAATGGTTCCAAAGCTTGTGAGAGGGTATGAAAGAAGAGCCCCAAGTGTGCCTGCTCACTCCACTTGCCTCACGGGTTCAGGGGGTTTGAGGCAGGAGGGACAGCTTAGCTATATGGTGACACCCTGGAGAGAGAGAGAGACAAAGAGACACCCTGATTCTAGAACATTCTCAGATCATTTCCCTGGTGAAGCAGTCTGGAGGCATGCCTTCAGGAGCCAGACCCTCAGGGAGAGGCTGTTGGATGTTCATGTGGGTATGTGCTCAGGCCTCTGGCAGGACCTGCACTTCTATTTCCTGGGCTGGAGGGAAAATGACACCTGTGGTCACTGACACTGCCTGCCTGCCTGGACTGTGGGGTGGAAATGCTACAGACTGGAGGCTCCTCTGGAGCAGCCTGGACCCGTGCTGAGGAGGGCTGGCATTAACACCCAACTAGCTTCCTGAGGCGTGCTCTGCTGTGTTCAGTGGTCCCCTGAGGGACTGAGCCCCAGAGCCTGCAGCTCCACTTTGGGAACTGTTTCTCTATCGTATACTGTTAAGACTTAAACAATTTTTAAATTATGAATATACATGTTGTGGGGGGGGCGTATATGTATGCACACGAGTGCAGGTGCCTGCAGAGGCCATCAGATCCCTTGGAACTGGCGTTACAAGTGGCTGTGAGTTACCTGACATGGGTGCTGGCGACAGAACCCAGGTCCTCTGCAAGAGCAGTACATGGTCTTAACCGCTGAGCCATCTCTCCAGCCCCCTATTTTCTTTTTTCTTTTTCTTTTTAAATTATTTTATTTTATTTTGGTTTTTGAGACATGGTCTCCTTGTAGCCCCAGCTGGCCTGGAACTTACTATGTAGACCTGGCTGGCCTGGCTCTCACGGTGATCTGCCTGCCTCTACGTCCCCAGTGCTGGGATTAAAGGCCTGAGCCACCATGGCTAGCCAGTTCTTAGGCAGGCCTCTACCTCATGATCTTCCTACCTCAGTCTCTACAGGGCTGGGCATACAGGTGCAACTGTGCAGAGCTAAAACTTGTTCCTTGACACACCTGGCTGTCCTTCCATGCCTTGATTCTCAAGGTCCCATTGGTGCTTCCTCAGGTTACCTCTCTGGGAGCCCAAATCATAGCACCTATCAGGCAGACACTGCTTGGGGAAGTGTAAGTTGGCTCTAAGTGTTTCCTGTTCCTACTCTTCCCAGGGGATTTTGAAGGAGGGGTCCCCTATCGCATCACCGTGACAGCAGTCTTTCCTGGGGGCATGGCTCCTGCTCCTTCAGTCTGGGGATTCATAGAGGAGTTAGGTAAGAAGTAGAGTTGGAGGATGAGGGGGGTCTCCTGGAACCCTAGTACATCCTGACTCACTGATTTCCTCCCAGTACCCCTTGCTGGACCAACACTTTGGCGTCTCCAAGATGACCCCCCAGGGACACCTGCAGTAGCATGGGGAGAGGTCCCAAGAGTTCAGCTCCGAGGCCGAGCTTTGCACTATACCTTGTGTGCCCAGAGTGGAGTCAGCCCTGCGGTCTGCATGAATGGTGAGCTTCCACCTTCCTGTCCCTTCCTCTAGACCTCCAAAACCCACCAGTCATCTACCAAATCCCTGTCCCCATTCTCAGCCCTGGGGAATTATATGCCACCAAGTCCCAGAGGATAGTAACTGTCTTGGCTATGGACGAAATGGGCTCACTGAAACATTAAAAACAAAGACTCCAATCTATACTCATTGTCAGTGACAGATGCCTGTCAGAGTTCATTAAGTGAAAAATATAAAATTATTACAGACTCTGAGATGGATTTGCTTTTGATAAAAGAAACCCAGTATTTCCGGGCGTGGTGGCGCATGCCTTTAATCCCAGCACTCAGGAGGCAGAGGCAGGTGGATCTCTATGAGTTCAAGGCCAGCCTGGTCTACATAGTGAGTTCCAGGACAGCTGGGGCTACAGGGAGACCCTGTCTCAAAAAGATCAAAAAAACAAACAAATGAAAAAAAAAAAAAAAAAACCAACCCAGTATTGAACAAAACCAAGGCTTAAATATGCAAAAAAAAATTTCCCTTGACGTCAACAGGAGTTACAGAAGATTGCATGTGATCTTGATTTCTTTCTGTGACCCTTGAGAATTTGATCTGCTGATGTTTTACTATAAGAACAGATCCTTTTTTTAAAAAAATATTTATTTTTATTTTATGTGTATGAGTGTATTACCTGCATGAGTGTACCATGTGCATGCAATACCTGTGGAAGCCAGAAGAGAGCATCAGATCCCTTGGGACTGGAGTTAGCGATGGTTGTTAGCCACCATGTGGGTGCTGAGAACCAAACCTGGGTCCTCTGCAAGAGCACCAGTGTTCTTAACCACTGAGCCATCTCTCCAGTCCCACAATTCCTTTTTTATGGTGTTGTTATTAGCTGGGTGTGATGGTAGGGCACTCGGGAGGCAAAGGCAGGCTGATCTCTGTGAGTTGGAGGCCAGTCTGGTCTATGTAGTGAGTTCCCAGGTCTACATAGTGAGGCCTTGTCTCAAAAAAACAACAAAAAAACCAAAATCAACAAAAAAAAATTTATTTGCGGCACATGCCTTTAATTCTTTAATCCCAGTATTCAGGAGGCAAAGGCAGAAGGATTTCTGTGAGCTGGAGGCCAGCCTGACCTGCATAATAAGTTCCTGAAATTCCAGGCCAGCCAGAGTTACATGGTGAAACTATGTTATATATATATATATATACAGAGAGAGAGAGAGAGAGATAGATAGATAGTCTGGGGGCAAGGCTCAGCAGGGTAGAGCCCCTGCTTAGAATCCTCCAGTGAGGGACTGAGGGCATGGTTCAGCAGTAGAGGGAGTGCTAGCAGGTACAGGCCTGAGCTCCATCCCCAGCACTGAATAAACAAAATCTTTATTTTTTCCCTGTCTACAAAAGTTACTTGTACTTGTTATAAAATCGAACTCATAGGCTGATATATTGGCTCACTGAGTAAGAAAAAGATTCTGGTATTGAGTCTGATGAATTTGATGTCTGGAGTTCAATTCCCAGGATTCACATGGTTGGAAGGAGAGAACTGATTCCCTCAGTTGTCCTCAACCTCTACACATGGGCGATCACACATACACACTCCCTCTACCTGTGAACCACATCCCCAGCCAATGGGGAATACACAGACACAGACACAAGAACCAGCATGTCACATGGTAATAAGAGCTGTGTACAGAGTGAAACACAGAAGGCGGGTGGTGTAGGGTACAGAGTACTATCTGAAATGAGGGGCCAGGGAAGGACTCTCTATGGAGGTGACACTGGGCAAAATTTAAAGAGACCAAGGGCTGTGAGATGGCTCAGCAACTAAAGGCCCTTGCCACCAAGTCTAGCACCCATATGGTAGAATGGATGGAGAGAAGCCACTCCCACAAGTTGTCCCCTGATCTCCACCTGTGCTCTATGACATGTGCATGGATATCCCCCCTAAATAAGAATGTAAATAAAGAAGATAGGATGGAGTCATGTGGAATGTTGCTGACAGAGGAAAGAGTATGTATAAAGGCCTTGGGGCGGGCAGGATGTCATTGCTTCTCTGGTTGTATCCTTCAGTGAGCAGTAACACCCAGACTGCCTCTCTGCCTGACCTCCACCCAGGATCCTTCAAGCTTTGGGTGACAGTGTCCACTGTTGCAGGACAGGGCCCACCTGGTCCTAACCTCTGGCTTCACCTACCAGGTATGAGGTAGGAATGGGAAGATGCCTGCTCAATTTCAGGCTAGAGGTGTCTGAAGTCATAACTTGGTGGATAACTTTCTGAGGAGGGAGACAGTTGGGTACAAGACAGTGCCGATGATGGATCCCAGGGCCTGTGTGTGTTCCCTACTGAGTCACCCTCAGCCTTGCTAAATGCCTCTGTATTTTCTAGCAATATGTGTCTGTAGCAGTCCACCTTACCCCTGACCTTGCCAGTAGGCACAGTATCTGCCCCACTCCTCCTTCATGATGACTGCAACCTAATCTCCACCCTCTCAAAGGCTCTGCCCCTTCCTCAAGATAACCACATCCTCAGCTCCAACCATTCAAAAGCCCTAACCAGTCACAGACTGGTTATTCAAGATGGCAGCAAACTTATCCCCATCTATTCACAGGCCCAGCCCTATCCACAAGCCCACCTCCCTAGGGTTCTAGGTTCCTTCCTCCCCACTCCACAGATAATAGGATCAGGTGGAAGATTCTGCCCTGGCTCCTGTCCCTGTGGGGTGTGCTCCTGATGCTCTGTAGCCTGAGGCTGGCCACCACCAGAAGGTGAGGCTGTCAGACATAAGGTCTCTGCCTGGATAGGGTTTGGGGGCTGGGCCCTGGCTGAGCTTCCATGGGGCTCCTGGGTGGCATCAGGGCCCAGAAAGTTTAGATTCAAGCAACATATCTGTCACCTGTTCCTTGCTCTGACTTTTACCTGCTGGCCAGGTGCCTCCACCTGCGAAACAAGATGTTTCCCCGCTGGGTCTGGGAGAAGGTTCCTGACCCTGCCAACAGCAATTCTGGCCAGCCTCACATAAAGGTAAGAAAATACCAACTTGTTGGAGCACCCTACCGCCCAATGGAGGATGCTGGGAGATGTGGGAGGGGAAGACCTTTGTGTCTCAGCCTTCATCTCCCCAGGAGGTGATCCTGTCCCAGCCACCCCGGGACTGGCCCATCCTGGAAGTGGAGGAAATGGAGTCACTGCCTGCCACAGAGCTCCCTAAGGCTTCTGCCCCTTTCCACTCTGGGTATGAAAAACATTTCCTGCCCACACCAGAGGAGCTTGGCCTTCTGAGCCACCCAACCCCCAGGTTCCAGCCTGAGCCTTGTGCTTCAGGCTGGAAGCTGCAACCCAATCTTGGATTAGACTTTTGAACAGACAAAGATGCTGAAGCTCAGAGAGGCTGAGTCACTTTCGGAAGGACGGAGAGCCAGGAGGCGTGGAGACTGAAGACCCAACTGAGAAGGCAGGGTCCTCCCACAGAATCCCAGAATGGCTGAGGGAACAAAGGACAATATGAAATCGAGAGTTGTGGCTGCTTTTTGAAATCTTTCTGTTGGACCAAAATCACATATGGTCTGAGCTTGGTGGTGCACTTCTGTAATCCAGTCACTTGTGAAGTGGAAAAGGTCATCAAGGTCATCCTCAGGTACACAGTCAGGGCTACCTGAGTCCCTATGTCAAAAACAAATCATCTTTAGGCACAATTCCAGTCTCCCTTGCAGCTAGAGCAGCTATGGATCAAGTTCTCACCAATGGAATGTGGGAAAAGTGAGATGGTGGCACCATTGGGGTGGGTGGTGACTTCCATACACTTCCCTTCCCTATGTGCCAGAACATACTCATCTTGCCATCCAGCCTTGGCCATTCCCAAGAAAATGGTGGGTCATGAAGTGGAAAGGAACCTGAATGCCCTGGTGAACTTGTGGACCAGAGCCTAAATTCCTGAGTGATCATGTGGATCAGATCATAGTAAACTTCCCATGTTTTGTTAGTGATATACTGAGGATTGAACCTGGGGCCTTGTGCACTTAGCCAAGCACTCTACCACTTAGCTACATTTCCAGTGTATAACTTTTATGGGTTTGTTTGTCTTGAGACAGGGTCTCCCTATGCAGACTAGGCTGGCCTTGAACTCATGGAGGTCTGCCTTCCTCTGTGTCTCAAGCGCTGAGACTTATAGGCATGTGTCACCACACATGGCCAACTTTTGGTTTTAGTTGTTTTGTTGTTTAGAGGCATGGTCTCACTCTGTAGTCCTGGCTGGCTTGGAACTTACTTTGTAGATCAGGCTGGCCTTGAACTCAACTTTTTTGTTTTGTTTTTCTTTGTTGTCTTTTTTGTTTTGGTCTTTTTGAGACAGGGTCTCCCTGTAGCCCCAGCTGGTCTGGAACTTGCTATGTAGACCAGACTGGCCTCAAACTCACAGAGCTGCCTGTCTGGGCCTCTCTGCTGGGACAAAAGGCATGTGCTACCACACCCAGCTCAACTTTTGTTTTTATAGATACTATATTTTTTAGGTCTTTTTGTTACCACAGCTGAATTAATAGTTTTGCTCACCAAATCTTTTTGTTGGTGGTAATTTCTTTTTTGAGTCAAGATCTCTGTATGTAGCCCAGGCTGGCAGCAAACCTTTGTGTCTATCAAAAATCAACATCCCACCAGGATAAGAGGAGGTGATTCTATGTCAAAAAACAGGAGGCTTTAGAGATGGCTCAGCAGTTAAGAACCCTCACTGCACTTGCAGAGGACCTGAGTTTGGTTCCCAGCACTCAGATCCCTGTGGCTCACAATCTTCTGTGACTCCAGCTCCAGGGGAATCTGACATCCTTTTCTGCCTCCTCAAGCAACCAGACATATATGCACATACACCCCCTCTCCACACATAATTTTAAAAATATTTTTTTAAAAAAGACTAGTTGCCAGAGTGCCTTAACATTTTATTTTCAAGTATAAAGGCTTTGGTGCAGAAGGGAGCCAGGGTCACAGGCAGTGGGCAGAGAATCCAAAAAGTCCAGGTGTATATAGATGTGTAGGTTCCTAGGTGCCACAGTCCCACAGTGCCCTGTCTATGCCTGGACCCTCTGCACGTTGCCAGGCAGCGAGGTAGCTATGGGAGGAGCAGGGTGATGGGTGGTGGGTGCAGGTTCACATGACCACACAACACTGGCACGTCTTTTGCTTGGGACCACTGGCCTCCTCGCCTTCGGCTGGGGCGGCTGGCTCAGGCTGCCTGGCAGCAGCGTAGGTGGGGACAGGGAGGGCACTGGGGTTGGCGCTGGTCCCCTCCTGCTGAAGCAGTGGCTGGCTTTCTGCAGGCAGCTCTGGGGCTGGGGTCTCTGCCAGGAGGGGGGTGGCATCTCCTGGAGGACCCTCACCCTCAGCACAGGACTGAGGCTTCCCCACTGCCTTTTCCTTGGGTCCTGGCTTCTCCAGCATGGGCTCCTCCTCGACCCTGAGTGGAGTCCCAACCTGGCTGGTGTCCCCCACCTGCAGCTCTGCTCCTTGGACAGAGTCACTCTGCTCTCCTGGACTTGCCTCTTCCTTGGTGCCTGGAGTCAGCTCTACCTCTGATGGGCCTTCCTTGCCTTCTGTCTTCCCGTCTGATAGTTTCTTTCTGTCTCTTCTCTCTCCATCCAATAGTTTACCTCCTTTAGTCTCTCCATCCAATGAGCCCTCACCTCCCGCCTCCTTGCCCAGTAGTTTCTCACCTCCCGTTGCGTCCCCATCCAATGAGCCCTCACTGCCTGCCTCCTTGTCCAATAGTTTTTCACCTCCCGTTGCGTCCCCATCCAATAAGCCCTCACCTCCCGCCTCCTTGTCCAATAGTTTTTCACCTCCCGTTGCGTCCCCATCCAATGAGCCCTCACCTCCCGCCTCCTTGCCCAGTAGTTTCTCACCTCCCGTTGCGTCCCCACCCATTGAGCCCTCACCTCCCGTTGCGTCCCCACCCATTGAGCACTGACCTTTTTTCTCCCAATCCAATTTCTCACTTTCGGTAGTTTCTCCATCCAGTAGTTTCTCACCTCCCCACTCCTGGTCCAATAGTGTCTCCCTTCCTGCTCCCTCTGCCACCCTTGTCTCCTCAGTGGCTGGGGGCTCGCTCTCACCTCCCTTCTCTGCTAGCAGTGGTTCCTCATCTTCCTTCGCCTCCACCTCCCACTTTTCCCTTCCTTTCACCTCCCATTTTTCCAATTCTACTGGCAAGGGGCCCTCGCTTCCTTTTCGTTCCTTGCCGGCTTCCTTTTCTGTCCTGTCCTCTCCTTTCCTCCCTGGCTCTGGTGACATCTCACTTCCTTTCTCCTCAGCCTCCAGTGGCCTCTCCACCCCATCCCTCCCTGCCCCAGGCTTTGCTACTGTTCCTCTTTGTCCGGCTCCTGATTCCTCAGCCTCTGTCCTCTCTACCTCCCAAGACTCTTGGCCCCCTTCCACCTGAGCCTCCAGCAGAGCCTCAGGCCCTCCCTCTCGCCCTGTCCCCACAGGCCCTTCCAAGCCCTCCATCAGGAGCTCCTCCCAATCCTCACCAAGGGTCACTCTCTCCACCCAAATGAAGGACCCCTCCCCTGCAGGGCCCCCTTGCCCATTACCCTTAGGGTTGTCACTAGGAACACCTTCCTGTTTTCTGGAAGCCTTGGCCTTGAATCTTTCGTTGAGCCTCAGGGAGCTGGTCTGTGAGACATCCTTGCCCACCTCACCTGTTGCTTGGGAGTCACTGTCCCCCAACCCTTCCCAGACCACCTCTACCACGCCTCTGTCCTCCTTCACCCAAGTTGGGAGCTCTGGGCTGCCAGCACCCTGTCTGTCCCCAATGGCCTCCAGCACTATTTCCTCCACTTTAGCTTCCAACTCTGCACCTGTAGGGCTCACAGCACAGTCCTCCATGGCCCTCAGCCCTGCCCAAACTACCTCCACCACACCGTCTCCTTTGGCCTCAGTGACACCCTTAGCTGCTGCCACTCCCAGGCTCAGCTGCTCCCAGACAGGGCTGGACCCAGAGCAGGGGCCATTAGCTTCTGAGGAGGCCCCTATGACCCCAAGAGATGGCCTCAAGTCTGACAGAGCCCCAACAGGCTCCTCTCTGGGCTCAGAGGGGGACCTGGGGGACATGCTCACTGCATCAGCTGGCAGAGAAGTCCTCTTGTCCATATCTTTGTGGCCTGGGGGAGTCATGGGAGGAGAAGTTAGGATGATGGGGGACCAAGAGGATCCTCATCCCAGATCCTCTTAGGTCAAGTGATCTGGTGGTGACTGTTCCCCAGACCTAGAGACTTCCATACTTACTGGAAGGATCTGCCTCCATAGTGGGCTGGGAGAGAGGACGGGGACCCTGCAAGGCAAACAGAGACAAGATCTATTTGGCCCTGGTCTCTATCTCCCAGGCATGCTTGTGCCCCTTCTGTGCTCAAACACCCTCCATGGCTTCCTGTTACCTCTAAGACCAAACTCCATATTGCATTTAGCCTTCCACAGCTTAATCAATACCATGCTAATGCCTGCTTGGCCAGCTTCTGAGGTTGCCATAGACAAATGATTTGCTGGGAGAGAGGAGGTGGGGGAATGGAACCCAAGGCTTCATGCAACCATAAATCAAAATGTCCTTTGAGGGTCTGGGGAGATGGCTTAGCAGGTCAAGTGCGTACTGTACAAGCATTAGGACCCAAGTTTAGATCTCTGGCATCGATGTACAAAACTAGGCATGGCAGTGCACATCTGTAATCCCAGGACTGGGGAGGCAGAGACAGGAGAATCCCTGGGGTCCCCAAACCAGTTAGCCTAGCAGAATTATGAGCTCTAGGTTCAGTGAGAGACCTTGTCTCAAAAAATCAGGTGGTTGATGTCAACCTCTGGCACTCGCTCTCCCTCTCTCTTTCTCTCTTCCTTTGTAAACCATGTGCGGTGGTATAAAACTGTAATCCTAGACTCAGGAAGCTGAGGCAGGAAGATCATGAGTTCAAAATCAGACTGGATTACATAGCAGGACTCTTCCTTCCCCCTGCCCACTACTGGATTTAAGTTATAATCTCGTTGACCCTCCCAAAGGCTCTTCTGGATGTGTGTTGTTGCTATTCACCATTTTAGAGATGGGAAACAGGTCTAGGCCAGAAAATCAACTTAGCCAAGAACACAGAGCAAAATAATATGCGGTGGGTTTGAACAGGACCTATTGGCTAGGCTGCACTTTGAGAGGCATCTGTTCAGAGTCTAGTTCCAGCCCTGCTGGCCACGCCCCCTCTCTTCCGTCACCATTCCCCCTCCGCTCACCTGTCTGCGCCAGGTGGGCCTGCCCGCAGGCCGGTGCTGAGCACCTGTGGACGCACTTTGCAACAGCTGTAGCTGTGACTGGAGTCTGAGGAAGAAAGGGGCATGCTGGGAGTCGGGCCCTGGGCTCAACTTGCTCCATTTCTGAGTGCTCTCAAAATTCTGCTGCTGAGGCATGGCTCAAAAGCAGGGATTCCCGACTTACGTAAACAGGCTGTCTTCCAGGTTTTGAATTCTAGTTTGGGCCTGCGCCTCGGGAGACTGGGGGTCCTTGGAGGCGGGGTCTTCCTGTTGCTCGGGACCTTCAGCCGCCCCATCCATGAGCCAACGTTCCCGGAGAGATTTCCTCTGTGTAAGGGAAAGGAGCCCTGGGCTGGCCACAGGGAGCCTGCCCTCTCCACCCATTGCCCGCAACCGTCGGGAGGAGACACCCATCGGGCTGGGAGCTGGGGACCGCGCAAGCACTCAAAGCCAGCCCATACCCTCCCCCAGGCAGTGGCGCCCAGCCATCATCCCTCCAGCCCGCCCCCCGCCCCAGGCTGGGACAGCCTAGCTCACAAAACACTGCTAAATGGGAGGCTTCCCTATGCGCCCCTCCCTACCCCAACGCTGGTCTAAGGCTCACAGCCTCTGAACGCGGACAAAGCCCCCCACTGTCCCCATACTCTCCCCTGGGTGGGGCAGCGGTCCCTATGTTCTTTCTCCAGCCTCTGCTCCATCCCCCCCCCCACTAGATTGAGGTTCCTATTGTCTCGTAGCTCGACTCACACAGACACCCCCACTTCACTGCCCCGCCTGGGCAGGCGCCCCAACCTTGAGCCGCTCCACGCGGAGTTTCTCCTCCTCCAGCTCCCGGCGCGCGGCGCCTATTTCCTCCTGCAGTCTCCTCTTCTCCTGCTCACACAAGACCGGGAGCTGCCGGCCGGGCACCGCCCTCTGCCCTCCGCCCGCCTTCTCCCGTCTCTCGGGGCTCCCGGGGTTCCCCGGGCGTCCTCCGGGCTGGCGGTGCGCGCGGCAAGGAGGGGGCCGCGGAGCGCTGACTCAGCAGCGGCCGGGGCAGGACGGGGCGGGGCGGGCCAAGCCGGGATGCTGCGGAGGCCCGGCCCGCGCCCAATGGGGGGTGGTGGTCTACGGATGGAAGTGGGGGGGCGGGGCCTAGAGACCAGGATACTGTGAGGGTCGGAGCTGTGGACTGTAAAGATGGGGAGGAGAATTGCCAGGCGAGATGCAGACGCCTGGACTTCACAGCAAGTTCGAGGCCAGCTGGGGCCAGAGTCCTGAGACATCTCAAAAAAAAATTTAAAAAGGGAGAAAGGAACATGAGTTCAGAGAGACAAGAGCCTAGATGTGGGAAGGGTACTAGTGAGATGGGGGTCCAAAATGAAGCTGCAGAGGTAGGGGTCCGAAAAGACTCATACATACAGGTGGAGGTAGAGCTGCGGTGCAAAGATGGAGGTGTGATGGGGGTGCAGAGGCTGTGTTCAGAGACATGAAATGCAGAGGTGAGAGTGCAAAATTATGAGGTACCCAAGTGGGCTGCTGAAATTTGGGGTGCTGAGGCGTGGGATCCAGAGAGATGGGTGAGGTGGGGAAGTTAGGGAGGTGGGATGGAAAAGAGTAAGAAAAATGCTGGGGTGCAGAGGGGCTGCAGGGTAGGGTTCAGAAGTGGGCTACAGAAAGTTGGGGTGCTAAGAGAGGAAGTGTGATATGGAGTGCAAAAAGATGGGGTGCTTGGGGTAGAGGTCAGGGAGATGGGGTACAGAGTTGGGAATCAGAGAAACGGGTGCAGAGTGGTGTTAGAGACTTGATTGATATATAAGTAGGAGTGGGGTGTAGAAAGATGGGGTGTAAAAGTGGAGTTGAAGAATAGAAATGCAGTGGTGTTCAGAGACATGGAGGTGGGGTGCAGAGAGCTGAGGTTCAGAAGTGGGCTACTGAGGGATGGGGTGCAGAGAGCTGTCACGATGAGAGCTGAGGAGCAAGACACACAGGCATATGGGAATGATGGAAGTAAGAGATGGGGACAGAAGGACAGAGCTCAGAAGGGATTCCCTAAGAAAGGACTCCAAGAGTGGGTTACAAGATAGGGAGATCTGAGAGATGGGAAGCCTGAGGGGCATGGGGGAGAACCCTGGGAGGGCCAAATAACACCCTCTGTTCAGTCAGCTAGCAGCAGGGACCAGGCAGAGGAACTGAGAGAGGTGCCTTGGACAAGATGAGGCTGAGAATACAATTCACCTTTTCACAGGGCTAGACTCACTCCATACAGGCAGACATTCCCTACTGGGATGGGGCAGACTAAGAAGGAGCCTAGAGAACATTTGGGGGTCCCCAGTGCACTGGGAGGATGTCACTTACAGCGATGACCTCCAACCGCTGTTGATAGAGGGTGCTCTCAGCCATGGCCCTATGGAAAGAGCACAGAGGCTGCTGGACTGTCTCCCAGGGTCCCGGAATGCCCCTCTCTTAACCAAGAATTCTTGACTGCTGAGAGAGCCCAGTGCTTTGCCTCAGTTTCCCCCTTTCCACCTGGGAGGAGCCTGGGCAGATAGGGTCTGGAGAGGGAATGAACACAAGCCATGATTGTGACACTAAAACCTTTCCTATGTCTGATATCACCTCTCTCAGCCTCAATTTCCTCATCTTTAAAAGAGGCAATGATAGCTTCATCCCAATAGTGCAAGAAAGTAATTTAAATAATTTCTGTCCTTAATATGATTTATGCCTAATTATAGTAATCATTCCTACTCGGTCCTACAGAAATTTTCAACTCCTACCAGGCTCCTAGTTTGCTGCATATTTCCTGCCAGTCCCATGCCCTCTTTGTCCTCAGTATCCTTTAAGCACAGGGCGGGGGCGGGGGATGAGGAAATGTGAGGAGAGAAGTGACCATCAAGCCATTGCTGTGGTAACTCCAGAACTGCCATTTGTCTACTTGTCAACCCCCTTCCTGCTGGGAGCAAGGGTCACTGGGCCACACTGCCTAGCTGTGGACTTTGAGTTTCAAGGAGGGGGACTTGGGGTTTAAGGTTTAACCTGAGATTTCCCCATCTTCATCCTGAAGTAGATCAGCAGCCCTGCTTCTCGCCCCCATGGAGCACCATGGGTCCTTAGTGAGCCAGGAGGTGGAATCTGCTTTGTACTTCAAGACAGTTAGGAGACTGTCATTGTCACTGGCCTGCCCTGAGGGCCACTCCTGGAGCTATGTTAACCACAGCTCATCAGCCAATGTCCAGAAAAGGACGTCTGCCTGCCTGTCAACCCCTATGCCAGACACGGCGTATTACTTTGGATCCTAACCCAGTCGGGAGAGCACTCCAGCACCACTATCCAAGCTGCAGCTGGGACCTCCCAGATCCTCCTGGCACAGTGAAGGCATAAGGCAGTGCTATTTATAGCACCCTAAGTGCCCTGCCGGGCTTCCGCTGAGCAGCCACAACAACCTCCGCTCCTGCTTCACCCATCACCATTCGCTGGCTGCCATCTACTCTTGATCTGACATTCCAGCTAAGCTAAGAACAGACCTAGCCAGCCATAGCCACATGCCAGGTAGGTTTCAAAATGTCTTAGCTATAGTAACTCATTTAATCTTCCCTGTCATCCCAGGAGGCTCTTATTCATGGAATGGGAAACTAAGGTTCTAAGAAGTAGCCAAAAGACTTAGCTGGGAAGATGGCACACTGGGTACAGCACTTGCCCCAAGAGCATGAGGACCTAAGTTTTGATCCCCAGAACCCACTTACAGCTGGGTGTGGTATCTGTGTCTGTCATCCTAGTACACCTATGGCAAAATGGGAGGTAGAGACACCTGGAAGTCTGTTGTGTGCAGCATCAGACAAGAGACTCAGTCTCAAAAAAAGGGGGATGGTGCTCATCTTGGTGCACACCTTTAATCCTAGCACTCAGGAGGCAGAGATAAATCTCTGTGAGTTTGAGGCCAGCCTGGTCCACAGAGGGAGTTGTTTCAGGCTAGCTAGGGCTGCACAATGGTTCCCTCTCCCCCAAATAATTAAGTAAATAAATAAATGAAGGAAGACAAAGACAGCCAAGGTTGTCCTGTGACTTCATCAACACACTGTAGCATGTACATACCCACACTGACACAAACTCACACACACACACACACACACACACACACACACACACACACACACGACTTGTCCAAGGTCTTGGAGTTAGAATGAGAACAAGAACAGCTTGTACCCTGAGAACTGACAACATTGTGTGGCGTTCAGGGGCTCCAGGAACTCTCATCTGGACAGCCACAGCCAGTGCAGAGACCCACCTGGGGGTCAGGAAGGATGACTAGCAGGTGTCCCTAAGGAAGTCTAGACTTCTATTCATTGCTCTGCCCCTGGGGAAGGACTAAAGTCCCCCTCAGCAGTCCCAGCCCTAAGATGTTATCTCCCTAACTCTTCCTGGGGGTGGGTGCAGATCAGGTTCCTGTTGCTGAGCAACCAGGTTTGTTCTTGGTGAATAATGCAATGGAGGGCCCTCAGACTGAGGGACCGAATTCAGGTCCCTAATGGGAAGAAGCCCTCTTTCTAGAAATTTCTACAGTCCCTTGGAAACCCTCAAATGCCTTTTTTTTTCCATACTGGGGATGGAACCAGCAGCATGCTAGGCTACTCCTGCCTCACTTTGAAAAGTCCTCATGTCTATGAAAACACCAGCACCTTTTCTAGCCAGTTTTTGGGTCTTTGAATTCAAGGCCAGTCCCCAAGCATAGCCAGCCTGGAACCAACTCCAGAGCAGAGAGGCAGCAGCTGCGTTCCTGTGGCTTTGCAGGCCTTTGGATTTCATTAGAATCTTGGCATTTCCTCCCACTCTGCACACTTGAGCCAGGTGATGGCAGGGACAAAACTTGGAAACAAGAGACCCTGACATGTCCTGCCTGCCCCCCCAGCCCTGCAGTAGCCCCACTTCCAGGCTGGCCTTTGGGCTCAGCACCCTGGAAGACTGGCAGAGAAGCTCACCTCTCCTGCCCAGCTGTCTGGGGAAGGAGGTCCTCCAGGAGCCCTGGGGTTGGCCACGACCTCTTCCAAGGTCCCTTAGGAGAGGCCAGCTGGGGCCTCGGCTCCCAGGAAAGGCCAGCGGGCCCCCCCCCAGCCATGCCCACTCGCCCCAAGACACTTACGTGGGTGTGACGGGGCACCACATCGGGCTCTGCAGGGCCATCTCTGCCTAGTAGCCCTCCAGGTGTGAACACGGACCCGCTGGCCAAAGGCGCCCCGAGGCTGGGCCCTGGCTGGCTAGAGGGGGCTGCGGGGCGGAGCGGGAGAGCAGGTCAGTCTGGTTTGGGCGGGAGGCGGGCGGCTGGCCGGGCTGGGGCTGGGGGCAGTGCTGCGGAGCACTATCAACTTCTCGGGATGAATTATTTACCAGCTTCTGGCCTCCTTGCTGCACTGGGCTGCCTCCCACCTCACAGGCAGGCTGTCACACCCGACCTCTGGCAGGTGGAGGAAAGCACCCAAGCACTGACCCGTGGCTGCCCGAGAACAGCGCCCGCTTTGGGCACTCTAGACTTGAAAGGAAGAGGCCAGGGCCACCAGTTCTGCTCTAGGACCTTGAAGCAGGACTGGCAGGAGTAACCTCTGACCCAGCTTCTGGAGACCATGGCATCTAGGCTATAGTGGATCACTGTGGGCAACTTGCCTCAGGCTTAAGACCTGGGTTTGCTTCTCTGTGAAATGGGAGAATCAGTGCCAGTGGCCTGCAGAACTGGGGAATCTTCCTTATGTTATATAATGTTTAGGCACAGGGCAGTGATGAGAACAGGTAGAGAACTTACTGCACAGCTTCTGACCCTGTCCGGTCTCTGTGCTTCCATCCGATTTCATTCTATTCTTCTTTTCCTTCAGACAGAGTCTCCCATAGCCCAGGCTAGTCCCCAACTCGATTTTATAGCTGAGGATACAAATGAACTCCTGATCCTCTTGTTTCTACCTCCTAAGTGCTGGGATTACAGGCACTCACCACCAGGTTTATGCAGTGCTGGGAACAAACCCAGAATTTCCTGCATGCTAGGCAAGTGCTCCATCAACTGAGCTACACCCCCAGCTTTTTGTTGTTGTTTCTATTTTCTAGGATCTTGCTGTTTTTCAGGCTGGCCTTGGACTTGTGATTATCTTGCCACTGCCTCCCCAGTAGCTGGGATTACAGTCCTGTACAACCAGAACAGATTTGACCTTCACCTCAACAATAATGACCCTCACCTGTCTAAACCCAGTGCTTCAAACGGCTTTCCAGCAGAGAGCCTCTCCACAAGGTGAAAGGGCTGAGCCCCCCTGAATCTGCCTCACTTCTTCTAAACCTTGTTTCAGGGGTCCAGGGCTAGTTTTGGCCAGAGTGTCTCTTTGGAGAGTCTCTTTTCTCATGCATAGACTCCACTATGTTGGACGGGAGCCGTATCAAGGGCTGGTATCGTCTACTACCTGCAGTCTAGTACAAACTCCTAGGAATGCAAAAATTTGATTAAACCTGTGCCTGCAAGTGACCCGGCAGGGAATCCCAGCTGCTAGGGATGTTGAAGCAAGAGGATAGCACGTTCAAGCCCACCTGGACCATAAAGTGAGTTCAAGGCCAGCCTGGGCAACTTAATAAAATACTGCCTAAAAATAAAAAGAGAGCAAGGCCTGGTGGCACAGGCCTTTAGTTCCAGATGTAGATCAGTGGTAGAGTACTTAGTGTTTGCCTAGCATGCACAAAACCCTAGATTCAATCCTCAGTACAGGGGAAACACAAAGAAGTTGAATTTGAGTTTCTAGATCATTCTGAAAACAAACTTATGGTGTGTGTGTGTGTGTGTGTGCATGTGTGTACACATGCACATGCATGCATGCTCTGGAGGTAGCCATACACGTTAGGTTCTCCACCACCGAACCATGCTCCAGCCCTTATATATTGTTTATTTATTTAGTGTGTGTGTATGTGCACTCGTGCACACAGATGCCAGATATTCATATTGGGTGTCTTCCTATGCCAACCTCCACCTTATTTTCTGAGGCAGGGTCTCTCCCTGAACCTGGGTGACTATGCCAGCTGGCCAGTGAGCCCCAAGGACACAGCTGCCTCTGCCTCCCCAGTGCTTGAATAACAGCACACAGGTGCTGGGATCCAAACACAGGTCCCTGCGCTTTTGCAGCGGGTGCTTTATGGACGGAGCCACCTCCCCAAACCTGACGTGTTTGTAACAACATTTCCCGCCAGTGACGGTTAGCATGCAAAGATAGGCACCTCTTATTTCTATTTAGATCAAGGACATCTCCATCACCCCAAGGGAAGCTGTCTTCCCAGCAGTCACACCTCATCTTCAAACCACCCCCATCCCTGGCAAAAACCTGCCTCTGAGGTTTGCACACACACACACACACACACACACACACACACACACACACACACGTGTGTGTGTGTGTGTGTTGTGGTTAATTAATCTTTTATTTTATGTGTATGAATGTTTTGCCTGCATGTATGTAAGTGCACCCATGTCATGCAGTGCCCATGGAGGCCAGAAGAGGGTGTTGTCTCTTCTGGAACTGGAGTTACAGGCATTTGTTAGCTACCATGTGAGTGCTAGGAACTGAACCCAGGTCCTCTGCAAGACCAGCCAGTTCTGTCAACCACAGAACCATCTCTTCAACTCCCCCTTCCCTTTTTTGGAGACAGGGTCTGGCTATGTAGCCAAGGCAGAACTCGAAGTTGTGATCTCCCTGCCTCAGTCTTCTGAATGCCGAAATGACGGCTAGTAATTCTTACTTTCCTGGGCCAGGTGCTAGGGGACAGTTGTGTGTAGAGGTGGTAAAAGGAACAGGAACACTGTGATGAATCTTCAACTATGACATGAGGAGGGAAACAAATAGCACAAGGAGGTCTGGCATAGCTGCAGCATGGTGGGGTTGTTTTGTTTTGTTTTTCTGGCATTGCAGATAGAACCCAGAGCTTTGCACATGTTAGATAAGTGCTTTAATGCTAAGCCACATCCTCAGCCCCTCGCTAGGGGATTCTAGGCAGGTGCTTTATCACTGAGCTCAGCCCGGAGACTGGGTTACTGAAAATAACTAAGATGTATTTGAGGAAGTACTTCTTTTGCAGGATAGGTGGTCAGCAATCTCTTCTCCGAAAAGATGCCATTTGAATGGAGTCCTGAACAGCAGGGAGCAGCCTAGGGATGAGTCTTTTGAAGCAGAGAGAAAGGCCATGCCAAAGCCCTGTGATGCAATGCATTTGGTGGTGGTGGGTGGTGGGAAGGATGGGATGAATTGATGTAAGAGGACAAGGTTAAAGCCTGACCTCTGAGACGTGTATAGGGCCTTCTGGCTGAGGGTTGGGGGTGTAGGATTTTTATTTGGAGTTTGGTGGGAGCCTTTGGGGGATTGGTGTTGGCTGGGACAAGGGTGGAGAGAAGCAGACAAATTCAGAATGTGTTTGGAGGCAGAAGCAATGGGGTTGGAAGATTGGTCAGAAGGAGACTGAGGAAGCAGAGAGACTCTTAGGATTTTTGCTGTTTGTTTTGTTTTGAGACACTGTTGCCCAGGCTGACCTAGAGTTCACTGTGTAGCCCAGGCTGACCTGGAGCTCTCAGTCCTCTTACTCAGTCTCAATGCTGGCATAAGTATGTGCCAGCATACCTGCCTTGACTCCTAAGTTGCTTGTTTTATTTTATTTTTCTGAGACAGGATCTCACTATGAAGGGTCTCACTGGCTTACCTAGAACTCACTATATAGACCAGGGTAGCCTTGAACTCAAAGAGATCTGCCTGCCTCTGCTTCACAAGTGCTGGGAGTAAAGGCATAGCCCAGCATGTCTGTTGTCTGCCTTAATTTTTTTTTTTTGTCTTTTTGAGACAGGGTCTCCCTGTAGCCCCAGCTGTCCTGGAACTCACTATGTAGACCAGGCTGGCCTTGAACTCACAGAGATCCGCCTGCCTCTGCCTCCAGAGTGCTGGGATTAAAGGCATGAGCCACCACACCCGGCTGTCTGCCTTATTTTTGAGCTGGAGTCTCTCACTGAACCTGGAGCTCAGGAACTATACTAGACTAGCTGGCCTTTCCGTTTCCCCAGTCCTAGGATTATGGATGCGGGTCACTGTGCCTGGCTCTTATGTAAGTACCCAGGATCTGAACTTGGGTCATCATTCCTACTTGGCAAACACTTTGCCAGCTGAACCATCTCCTCAGGTCTTTTTTGTTTTGTTTTAAAGACAGGATCTTGCTTTGTAGCCCAAGCTGGCCTTAAATTCACCATGTAATCTCATAGGTTGGCCTCAAACTCATAGCAGTATTTGCACTTTAGCCTCCCAAGTGCTGGGATTACAGGCATCCCCAGTCCTGGAGATGAAAACAGCCATGCTGAGTAGGTGCTCTGCCACTAAGCCACACACTCAGGATTAACCTCATGACCTTCTCCAGTGAGTTGGGCACCACTGTTTACCATATACAGACAGAAAGAAACTGAGTCTTGTGGGGAGCTTCACTTTGCTCCGATTGTGGGTGGGATGGAACTCAGCTTGGTCAGATTCTAATAGGCCAATTGGAGTGAAGGAAGACTGGTGATCAAAAGGGTGGGGGGTTTGTTGCGCGCTCCCTATTTTCTTTAGGTAAATCATCTTTCGGGTCACCATAGAACAACGAGGTGGGTTCTGGGGAAAGCCTACTTCCAACAGGGGCAAGTGGAAAATGCCCTTGGGAGTGGGTGGCCCACGCTCTAGGACGTCGATCCTGTCGGTGAAGGACACGATCAGGCACCAGACATGTCGCTGCTCTCTCTAGCCCGGATGGCTCCTGCCCCAGGCCAGGCCTCTTCAGCCTCTTGGCCTGAGCTTTCCAGCCGCTGTTGCTCCGCGGTGACCGGGGAGCGCTGTGGTCTCTCCCTCCTAGCTCAGTGCTCACTGCTGACGCCTCGCGGGCTTTTCTGGAAGGGAGGGGAAGCTGCTGCTGGCTCAGCGTGGGCAACAGCGCGCCACTGGGAACTTCGCAGAACCCAGCCACCAGGGAAGGCGGGCGCGCACTGTGCTGTAGCTCCTGGCGCCCTCTCGGGCGGGAGCTATGCACCTCAGCGATCCAACTAGGAGGGCGGGCCCGGAGGACACCGGGCGTCGCCTGCCGCCGGCTGGCACCTACTGGGCGGGGTTGGAGAGGTCCGGGGAAGGTGACCTCGAGGACACCCTGCAGGGAGGCAGCGTTTTAGAGGCCAAGCGCTGCGTTAGATTGGGTCCAGGTCTCCTGGACAGGTGCTGGGAACAGGGGACCCAAAAGGTGCTAGAGGTAGCGGGTTTGAGCTGTGCCCTCATCCGACCCGGAGCGCCCGAGAGGCCGCAATCCCGCGTTCTATCGAGTCGTCCCCGTCCGGAGGGCGGGCCCAGCGCCTGCCGAGTCTTGCCTGCAGGTGCTGGGGGCGGTGCCCAGCCCTGCCCCGGGGGACGTTCTTGGATGCCAGAGGCGGGTCAGCGAAGCGGCCGGTGCGGGCGACGCCTTAGAACCGAGGGCGGCCACTGCAGCGACAGGTGCTGCGTAGGGCACCGCTTCCTAGCTCTGGGCATCCCAAGCTTTCAAACTGCTCCTGACTCCGGACATCGAGGCCCCCGGGGCCCAAGATCGTCGCCCTGGGGTCGCTTGAAGCGCAGGGCTAGGAGCCCCCGGGCCAAGTCCGGGAGCCTGCGGCAAAGCAGCGTATCGAGGGCTGCAAGTCGGGCGGTGAGGTCCTAGTCACAGGTCTTTGAGACCCGGGATCCAGAGAGCCAAGTCCCGGAGGTACCAGCTGAGTAGAACGCAGATCGCCGGGGGCGGTCCGCAGCCTGAGTCTTCCAGAGCCTATTGCCCGGCAGCTAGGTCCCTGGGCGGCTTGGCACCCGGACAGCAGAGGTCGGGGGCAGTGTCCCTCTCTCCGCTCGGAATCAAGCTCCGAAGCCTGGTGCGTGTATTTTCCCCCAGTCCTGAGGCATCCCACCGGGCGCCCGCGGAGCTGCTGATGGAGACACCCATAGAGCGCGAAATCCGCCGCAGCTTCGAACGAGAGGAGAGCCTGCGCCGAAGCCGGGGCCTGAGCCCGGGCCACGCCGGCCAGGAACTCATTGAGCTGCGCGTTCGGCCGGTGCTCAGCCTGCCCAGCCCCGGGCCCGCGCTCCCGCGCGCCTTGGAGCGCGCTCGGGCTGGCGCGAAGATGCAGCGAGACATTGAAAGGGAGACTCATCGGCAAGCGGCGCTCGCGAGGCCGGCGGCCGGGGAGCTGAGCGCCTCGCCGCAGCCGCCGGGACTGAACGAGCTCAAGCGCTTCTTCGAGGCTGCCGCGGAGGACCGCGCGGGTTCGCAGAGGCTGGCGGAGGCCGGAGGCCGGCCGCACTCCGAGGTGCAGGGCTACTGCCCGGTGCTGGCGCGCGCGCCGCCGTCTGGCATCCGGTCCCTGCTGGAACAGGAGGTGCGCGAGGTGCGCGAGCGGGAGCGGGAGCTGCAGCTGCAGCGGCACAGCATCTACGGGATCACTGAGGTCCAGGAGCCCGCGCCGAGCCTCACTGGTAGGCCGACCCTCGGGGCCCCTGAGGCTAACGCTGTCCCCAATGACTGCCCAACACCGGTGGTCCCCCGTGTCCCCGCGGATACCTCCTCCGCAGGTTCCCAGACTCCTGGAACCCTAAACTCTCCTGGGAGAGGGTCACCCTCTGCTCCGTCCCCAGATTCATGACAACCTTGACTTGGAACCCTGCTGCATTCTGGCACTCTTGGATCCTCTGCGTTCTGAGGGCTCCTATTGTCCTCTCTGGGTTTGCCTCACTCATGTTTCTGGGTCCTAGAACTGGGTGGAGGCCTCTACAGGGAGGAGGGCCGTGAACACCTGTATGTGTTTAAGGGGTGGGGCCATCCTCCGGCTGGCGAGAGGAGGGGCAGCCACAGCTGAGTGTCCCTTCCCCCGTAGCGAGCAGGGGCGATGGAAAGTTGGCGGTGATCTGGCCCCCGCGGAGCAGGGCCTCGGAGAACGGCCTGGAGCAGGTGGGAGCCCCCTTCTCTTCTCGGTGCAGGCCGCTTTCCTCCCTCCCTGCTGTGCCCCGGAACAGGGGGCAAGTCCATCCCGGCGCCCCCTGGAGCAGCACTCTATCCCAGACTCAAAGTCCGCAGAGACCCAAGCGGGAGGGTGGAAGGAGGCGGGGCCGGGACCCACACCGCCTCACCCTGTATTCCTAGACCGAGTGGCGGGTCCCTGACGGCGGCCTGGGTCTTCCTCCCTTTCCCCAGCAGGAACGGAAACCTTGAAGTTTGAGAAGCCGGGAGGCTGAAGCCAGAAGCAAACCCTCTTCAAAGGACTAGGGTAGGGCACCCTCCGGATATGCAGAAGTCCTGGAGAGGGGTCAGCCGAGGAACTTGAAATCCTTCCCCTCGTTGATCTTTGTGAAATTAACCAGTTTTCTCTATAAAACTAGTCTTCACTGGAAAACAACGCCATCCGCAAGACCCGTGAGTGCAACAAAATAAAGCCCTCCTTTTTCTTGGACTGTCGGTGCAAGCTGTTTTCTTTTGGGTCCTCTCAGTTTGGGTGGGGCGGGAGCCCGGCGGGTGAGGGAAGCCTGAGAAAGCCACTAGAGGAGCGACCGGAACGCTGGAAGGAGAAACGCGAGCTTACCGTACAGTTCCGGGGCTGAGGCCACTAACCCGGGCTAGGCGTGTCGGGCTACTGCCCCCTGGTGGTGCGCGTGAGAAATGTCGCGCTGCCTGCAGTGTCTACCCTGGGTTTCTAACTTTTATTGGTGCCTTGGGCGTGCTTGACTCAGGATGCTGCTATAGACAGAAGTGCTATAAAGCTGTTCCCGGGCTGGAGAGATGGCCCAGCGGTTAAAAGCACTGGTTGTTCTTGCAGAAGACCCTGGTTCGAATCCCACCAACCCCCCGTAACGCCAATTCTAGGGGATCCGACGCCCTCTTCTGTTCTCCTCGGCACTGCATGACTCAGGTGCGTTTAGGTACTTGCAGGAGAAACACTCATACACATAAAATAAAACTAGCCGGGCGTGGTCGCGCACGCGGCACTCAGGAGGCAGAGGCAGGCAGATCTCTGAGTTCAGACCAACCTGGTCTACATAGCGAACTCCAGGCTAGCTAGGGTTACAGGGAGACCTTGTCTCAAAAAGACAAAAAAAAAAAAAAACAAAAAAAACATGGTCTCAGGCTAGATTGTTCTCTAATTCACTATGTGACCAAGGATGATCTTGAACTTCTTTTATTGGAGGAGGAGGAGGAGGAGGAGGAGGAGAGAAAGAGGAAGAAGAAGAGGAAGAAAAAGAGGAAGAAGAAGAAAGGAGGCTGGAGAGGTGGCTCAGCGGTTAAGAGCACTGACTGCTCTTGGAGAGGACCCAGGTTCGATTCCCAGCACCCACATGTGGCTACGAACCGTCCTTATCTCCAGTTCCAGGGGAATTGGAATTCTGACCTCCGCGGCAGGATACGGGTGCACTCACATACACGCAGGCAATACACTCATTACACTCATACACATAAAATTTAAAAATAAAAATAATAAATAAAATATTAAAAAGAACAGTATGAGCTCTTAACCACTGAGCCACATCAGCAACCCCTACCTTGAATTTCTGATCCTTCTCCACCTCCCCAATGCTAGGGTCACAGGCCAGTGCCACTGTGCCAGGTTAGGAACTGCTGATGATTTATCCCAGGGCTTCATGGATGCTCGGGGAGCACTCTAGCAACTCTCCTCAACATACCTTCCTCACTGAGAATGAGCAGTAAGTGGCTGGGGTCCCTTTCCTGCCTTTAGTCTTAGCTATCCTGGAGGGCAGGGCAGGGCAATTTTGTGAGTCTAACAGGTCATTGTTAGCAAAAGCCCCATTATAAACAAATAAATACAACTAGAACCGCTGTTGAAAGAGAAATCTCGGGGCTGGAGGGATGGCTTAGCAGTTAAGAACACTGTTCTTGCAGAAGATCCGGGTTTGAATTCCAGCACCTACATAGCAGCTAACAACTATCCATAAATCCAGTTCCAGGGGATCCAACAGCCTCTTCTGTCCTCCTCGGGCATTGCAAGACACGGGTGCACTTACCTACATGCAAGCAATACATGCTTACGCATAAAATAAAAATAATAAAATATTTTTTAATATTTATTTTAAATTATGTGTATGTGTGAGCATATGCACAGGTGTCTGCACAGGTTTTGTGAACGGCCCAACATGGGTGCTGGGAATTGAATTCTGGTCTTTTAGAAGAGCAGTAGGTGTTCTTAACCACTGAGCCATCTCTGCAGCCTCCCTCTTTAAGAAATCTTTTGAGACAGGGAAATCACCAAGTAGCTCTGGCTGGCTATATGGACCAGGCAAGCTTTGAACCTGTGATCCTTCTGCCTCTGCCTCCTGAGTGCCAGGATTACAGGCCTGTGTCACCATACCAGGCTTAGAAAAAAACTTTAAAAATCCATTATTAGTATTTTCCAGAATGTATGTACATGCACCACATGTATGCCTGGTGCCTGCTGAGGCCAGATGAGGATGTGAAATTCCTTGGAAATGGAGTTAAGGATGGTTAGCTGCCATATGAGTGTGGGGAACTGAACCTGAATCCTCTGCAAGAGCAGCCAGTGCTCTTAACCAGTGAGCCAGCTCTCCAGCCCGTTTTAAAAAACAAAAAAAAAAACAACTTTCACCATTGTGCAAATGGGAGTGAAGAAGGTGGCAAGCAGCAACCACTTGCAAAGGGGCCTGGTACTTTGTAAACCCTGGCTAACTTCTGGTAAACACCCTAGGTTGCATTTAACACTGTATCTGTGTAGTTCACATCATGCAGTGGTACCTTTGCAGCATCTTAGAAGTGACTGGGATCAGAAAATAGTGGGACCCCCGATTTTAGAATTGTGATATAAGGACAAGGATATAGCTCAGTTGGTAGAGTACTTGCCTGGCATGGGTGAGGTCTAGGGCTTAAACCCTAGCACCACATAAACTGAATATGGGGGTGCACACCTGTAATCTTAACATTTGAGAGGTGGGGGGGCAGAGGATCAAAAATTCAAGGTTATCCTTAGCTACACATGGAATTTGAAGCTAGTCTCATGGCTACATGAGATCTTGTCTTGAAAAACGGGGCGGGGCTCAGTGGGTAAGGTGCTTGCATGCAAGCCTGATGACATGTTTGATCCCCAGAACCCAAGTAAAAAGCCAGATACAGTAGTGCATGCATCTATGATCCCAATAGGCCCCTTCCAGATGAGAGATAGACACAGAAGAACCCCTGGGAGCTCACAGACCACCCAGACTAATATATGCCACAGTGAACAAGAGAGCTGGTTTCAAGTAAGATGCAAGGACTGACACTAAAGCTTTACTTTGATCTCCACACATGTACTGTGGTATGTACACATTCTCATCCACACACGCACATAAGCTAAATAATTAAAATTAAAATTGTGAGCTTGGCGTAGTGGCACATGCATTTAATTCCAGCACTCGGGAGGCAGAGGCAAGTGGATCTCCTGTGAGTCCAAGGCCAGCCTGGTCTACATAGTGAGTTCCAGGACAGCTGGGGCTACAGGGGGACCCTGTATCAAAAAGACAAAAAAATTAGAATTGTGGTTTATATTTTTGGATATACCCAATTCTGTCCCCTGCACAGGGACCGAGGGCGTCTAGTGAAATACCAACGAAAAACAGAGAGAAAAGGCTCATTGGTGTTGCACCTGGGAGCCACTCAGGCAAGAAGTGCCTGCCTCCCGAGCCTACATCAGCAAATAGAACACAAACAAATTTAACTGCGACTATGGAACTGTAGGGGAAGACAGCAGAGAGTTGCCAATGTGGGAAATAGAAACGCAGGCTGTTGTGTGTGCACAAGTGTGTGGGGATGCCAGACGTCACGCTCAGGTGCTGTTTCTTAGAAGTTGTTCACCTTGTTTTGTTAGACAAGGTCTCATTGGCCTAGGACTTCTTGAATAGCCTGGCTAGTGAGTCTTAGGAATCCTTCCATTTTCCCCCCCGACAACCCTCAGCACTGGGGTTACAAGTGTGTGCTACCACTTCTGTCTCTATGTGGGTGCTGGGATTGAGTTCAGGTCCTCAGCAAGCACTTTCCTAAGACATATCCCCAACCCCCTTTTATTTACTTATTTATTCTTATTTTATGCATATGAGTGTTTGGCCTGCATATATGTAAGTGCACCACAGGCATTGCATGCATGTGGTGTATTTACATACATGAAGGCAGAAGAGGCCAGAAAAGGGTGCAGGATCTTGTGGAACTGGAGTTATATACTGTTGTTAGCTGCCATGTGGGTGCTGAGAACCCACCCCTGGTCCTGTGCAAGAGCTCTTAACTGATAATCCATTTCTCCAGCCCTCCTTTTATTTTTATTTAAATTTAATTTAAATAAAAATTTATTTAAATTTATTTATTTCTTTTTTTGTCTTTTTCTATGTAGACCAGGCTGGCCTTGAACTCACAGAGATCCGCCTGCTTCTGCCTCCCGAGTGCTGGGATTAAAGGCATCCGCCACCACGCCCCCGGCTTTTATTATTTTTAAATTTTATTAATTTTAAATTTGTTTTGCTTTGCTTTTTTGTCTTTTTGAGACAGGGTCTCCCTGTCATCCCAACTGGCCTGGGATTTGCTATGTAGACCGGGCTGGCCTTGAACTCACAGAGATCTGCCTGTCTTTGCCTCCTGAATGCTGGGATTAAAGGTGTGCCACCATACCTGTTCCCCTATTCCCCTGCCCCTGTTTTTTGAGACAGGTTTCATATAACCCAGGTGGGCTTCAAATTCCTATGTTGCCAAGGCTGGCCTTGAATTCATGATCCTCCTCTCTCCACCTTCTAAGTGGTGGGATTACAGGCATGTACCACCTCTCCCTGTATTTTGTTTTATTTTGTTTTGAGACAGGGTCTCACTATGTAGCCCTGGCTGCCCTGAAACTTGCTATGTTCCAGGTTGGCCTGGAACTCACAGAGATCCACCTGCTTCCTCAGTGCTGGGATTACAGGTGTGTACCACCATGCCCATCCAAATCTTTTATTTATTTTTGTAGTGCTAGGGATCAGACCTAAGGCCTTGTGCATAGCAAACAAGTACTCTACAACTGAGTCATACCCCTACTCCAACATGCTTTTTTTTTTTGGTCTTTTTGAGACAGGGTCTCCCTGTAGCGCCAGCTGGCCTGGAACTCACTATGTAGACCCTCTGGTCTTGAACTCACAGAGATCCTCCTGCCTCTGCCTCCTGAGTGCTGAGACTATAGACATGCACCACCACACCCGGCTCCCCCAACATGCTTTAAAAAAAATATTTTATTGCTGGGTGTCAGATTCCCTGGAACTGGAGTTAGGTACAGTTGTTAGCCTCCGTGTGGGTGCTGGGATTCAAACCCAGGTCTACTGTAAGAACAGCCAGTGCTCTTAACTTCTGAGTCATCTCTCTAGCTCCCATGGGTGTTTATTTTTTAAACATTTTATTTATTTATTTTTATGTGTATCAGTGTATTGCCTGCATGTAAGTAAGTGCACCTGTGTCGTGCAATGCCCATGGAGGTCAGCACAGGGCACTGGATACCCTGGAACTGGAGTTATGGACAGTTGTTAGTTGCCACATGGGTGCTGAGAATCAAACCTGGGTCCTCTGTAAGAGCAGTCAGTGCTCTTTACTGCTGAGCCATCTCTCCAGCTTGTGAGTGCTTTTTTAAAGTTCCCACTTACAGCCAGGTTGGAGAGCCATGATGTGAATATGGACCAGTAGTTCTCAGTGTGGAGTATGGGCCAGAAGCATCTGTGCTGTGCACCAGCTCCTGAGAAGCACATATCCTGACATGGGAAAGTTCAGGGTCCCATCCCCAGCACTGCAACAAGGAAAAACAAGGTTCTGCCCAGATCTCATGAGGAAACTGCACATGATTCTGATGCACACTAAAGTTGGACGGTCACAAGTGTGGACAGTTCCTGAGTAACAGGACCCAGGAAATGGAGCTGGTTTCCTTCCTCACCCAGCACTGTAGCCATCAGCCAGAAGCTCCAGTCTTTAAACAGATGTGAATTTGGCTCCTGGGTGGTCTAAAGCTGCTTTTGGCTTATTGAATTGAGCAGGGCTCCAAGTGTTGAATATACTCCCTCAAAAAAATCCCACCAGATTTCAAAGACTCAGCACACATACACAAAAAGAAATGTTCATTAGTTTTCTCACATGGGTTATTGTTGAAATAATATTTTGTATTTAAGGTTAAATATCACCAAAATGAATCTGATATTTATTTCGTGGTGCTGAGCCTAGAACCCAGGGCCTGGTTGCATGCCAGGCAAGGGCCCTACCACTGAGTGCCACCCCAGCCTGTGGGCTAAAGAATTTTACAAGGGCTTGGGAAAACCTACAGGACTTAAACCAGTTTTAAGGAGAATCAGAATCCTCTTCAAGTTATTCTAATCTGAGCTGTGGACTAAAAAAAATCATGCAATCAGCGAATTGTTATCAGGGGCCTCTCTGAAAGAGCAAGGGTTTGGTGTGCAACCCTTAATCAGCTCACCTCACACAACAGTACTGCCAGACGATGTCAGCCTAGAGCATAAGGCGGCTGGGGATTAGGAATTTAGCTCAGTGGCAGAGCGCTTGCCTTAGCAAGCACAAGGCCCTGAGTTCGATCCTCAGCTCCAGAAAGAGAAAATAATAAATAAATAAATAAATAAATAAAGCTGCTGAAGCTGGACCAGTTTGTGCTACATCCTGAAGAGGAAATACAAAAAAGCACGACTCTGTTCTGTCTCTATTTTCTCTCGAAAAGTGTGAAAATGCTAGGATCCAAATACTGAGTTTGCAGTATAAAGAAATGGTGCGAATTTTCAGTGGAGTGACACCCGCGCATGAGGACTCGGTACCATCATAGGGGCCAGCTGCGCTAGGAAGGCTGGGTTGGAGTGGAGGCTCCGATTCTTGCTCTCGGGGCTCCGCGCAGGTTAAGTGCCCGAGTGTCCTCGCCAGCCCAAGGTTGGGTTACGGCTTAGAGAGCCCAAACTGATGTTAGGATTCTCCCAGCCCTCCTGTACCCCGGACACTCAGTGAAGAACAGCGGATGCTTGGCTCCGATACCCAAAAGCTGGAAGAGAAAGTCTGTGGTAACTATCGCCGACACTTTCCTACGGCACGTCGGGAAATGTAGTATTTGCACTAGATAAGAATTATTTCCGGGTTAGAATGTGGGCGTGGGTCTAAGTCTCTTCCTCCAGTGAGCGTTGACTCTCCCTACAACGCGAAACTTGTGGTTTTCTGGGTTCCGGTTGCTGACAAGAACCGCTACTTCCCTCTTTACTTCATGTGATGACTGCGCATGCGCCCCACTCTCCGGGCGCTGGACTACGGGTTTAGACTGGAAGACTACATTTCCCAGAAGGCTGCGTGGGCGGTGTCTACCCGCCCCCAGGGGAGGGGCGCGACGCTCCAAGCAGACGCTGAGCTGCTGACCTCTCTCGCGTTTATTTTATAGAAAACTGGTGTGTTCGTACAGTGGGTGCTCAGTAGTTCCCGGTCCAGCCCGGTTCGGTGCTGACCGGACAGCTCGGCCAGGCTCCTGGAAAGGCGAAGCCGGCAGCCTCGGAAGAACGAACGAACCCCTCCCTGCCCGGTGCCTGGGACTGTGGGACTGCCAAACTCCAGCTCTCGCCTTCTACCCCGGGCTCAGGGCTCCGGGCCGGCCCACACCGCGGGCCCGGCAGCGCTGGGGGGCCGGCCTCCCTGGCCCATGAGGATCTGCACCAGCAGGTCGGTGGCCAGCACATGCGACGGCTCCTCAAAGCCGATAGTTAGCAGCTGCTGGTAGTCTCCAGGCGGTTGCCGGCACAAAATCCTAGGGGACCAGAGACAAGCCTGGACGTGAGCGCCCCTGATCCTCAGGAAGTCTCCCACAACCAGGCTGCAGGAGGGAGGGGCTTCATTTCATTTGGGGGTGGGGGAAACCCTGAAGGAAGTTATTTCCTAGTTGACAAGCAAGTCCTGGAGGTTGAGTCACTGGCCCTGAGGCTGCTACTCATTTTGCTGTTTGTCGTTGGGTGGGTGACTTAGGCTCTAGGAAAGTCTGTTTTCTTTGTAAAATGGAGCCACTGGTACAGATCTCGATGGATTGCCAAACAAACCTGCATAAAGCATTTTTCCAGGCACAATAAAATGCAGTCGCTACCATCCCGGGGAAGTGAAAGGAGATCATAGTCTTTGGTGGGGTTCCTCCACTCCCTCAGGCCCCAAAACCACACTGCCATCGCCCAGGCTCCTACCATGAATAAAGGTCATCCTCTCCTGGTCCTAGGGGCACCCATCGGCCGATGGACCAGAGTTTCTGGATCTGGGGGTACGTGTTCGCTGGACCCTGGCCTGTGTCCTCCCATGTATCTCGATAGCACAAGTAGTAGCTAGGGGAGGAGAGAGCCAGGTTCAAGTTCATCAGAAGTTATCCTGAAGTTCTCAAGTAGGAATGTGACTTAGTGCTGAAGACTTTCCTCCCTGGCAGCTTAATTTTAAGATGAATACTCTTAGTTTGATGGGAGGTGGAGTTAAGAACACTAAAGGTATTCAGTGCTTGCCTAGTATGTGCAAGGTCTGGGGTTTGCTACCAGCACTGCAAAAGGTATTCCGTTTCCTGTCTTGCTTTTCCACTCTGGTGGTGGTGACATAGGAAGGACAGAATAGGAAGGGAAGGATTTTGATTTTTGACAAGGGGACTCACTAATCCACATGAGAGTCTTGTCCTTGGCTGCTGGGCGCTGTGGTTGTGCTTTCCAAGTTCCAGCGCATCTTCTTATAGAGGTGTCTGGGGAGGCGACCAGCAGTGTAAGCAGCTGGGGTGCAGTAGCGGAAAATGGACACCTCCTGGGTAGGGCTGATGGAGAACCTCCCACAGAAGAAGCAGGAGATGCTAGCAGATGGGAGAATGGATGGTGAGCAAGGACTCCTTTGCGACCCCCAGCCTGTTCCCTGCCTTCTTACCTCAAGGGGTTAGTTTCCTCCAGGTCCACAAACCCAAAGGAGGCATACATCAAGATCAATTGTTCCAGGCGCAGGGTCAGCTGCTGGGAGATCTCCAACAGCTGCGTGGAAGCAGGGCGTCAGGACCTCTAGTGGTCAGCCAAAAGCAACCCTCCTACTCCCAGGCAGGGACCTTGAGAAAGGGGCTGGGGACAGCTGCTGCACTAACCCCCTTTCTGACCAGCTCCTGCAGGGCTCCGTAGATGGGAGGCACGCTCCTTGCTGCAGCCTCAAGGTATAAGAAATAAGGTCCACAAATGGTTAAGAAGGTGAGCATGGCCTTGGCCAGCTGTTCCTTCTGTACTTGGTCCCTGCTGAAAGAAGGGTGCCTTCACCTGGGATACTTCACACCTCCATCCCCAGGTGCCCTATGTTCACCCTCCACCTGTATCCCTGGCTGAACCCCTTACAAATGTCCCCCAGTACAGGGATGGGGCATGGCTCAGTGGTCGAGCACTTGCATGCGCAAGGCCCTAGATTCTATCACCAGCAGAATAATAAAAGAAGGGTGGGGGCTAACTCAGTGGTACAGATGTGTGCTCAGCATGTGCAAAGCTCTGGGTTCAGTATTGAGGAAAAAGAATCCCCAATGTCTTTCTCCCGCCATCTTTCAGATCTACCTCCATCAAAAACCATCTGGAACATTTGTTTAAATGATGATGCTTAGGCTGGGGATGCAGCTCAGTGGTCTAGCACTTGCTCCTAGCACAAGGCTCTCGGTTCCATGCCCAGTATGTGTGTTGGGAGAAGGATTTATAACTGAGTTTTGCACCAAGCTCTGCAGAGGGAAGCTCAGATAGCAAGCCTTCTATTTTAAAGTCACAGTCCCTTTCCCCTGTTCTAGAAACTGCATTATCTTTGATGTAGGGGGTTGGGTCTCACACTGGTATCTCTCAGGCAGGGTTTTGTTTAGTTGACTGATACAGGGCTTAAAAATCTGAGACAGAGCTGGACGTGGTGACACATGCCTTTAATCTCAGCACTCAGGAGGCAGAAGCAAGTGGATCTCTGTGAGTTCCAGGGCAGCCACTATGACCCTGTCTCAAACAAACAAACAATAAACAAAGCAATCTAAGCTACCAGTTCAGACTTAAGAGACAGCACTCAGAAGGCTGAGGCAGGAGGATCACCAGTTCCAGGCCTAGGCTTCTCTGTGGGACCCTGTCTCAAAAACAAAAGTCGGTAAAACCAATACTGACCAAAAGCCAACCAACCAACCCCAAGAGGAAGATTCCTGGTGTCCAAAAGGCCCACATACTGCTTCCGGCCGCTAATTCTCCACAGCCCTCTGGTACTCTGGGAAATTTTCTAATCAGCTAGCTTGGTGTAGTGTCTCTGGGCCCTACTGAGACCAGTCTGTGACCTCTGTGTGGACTGTGTAGCTTGTCGGCATGTCCTGGACCCGTCCAGGAGCACCTGTAGAACAAGTAGCCTTGGAAGTCATCCGCCTTCTTGAGCAGGTAGCGGAGCTGGTCGGTGATGGGGCTGAACATAGCATCCAGCGGCAGGCGAGCTGTGGTTGGCCCGGGCTCTGGGGCCAGCGGTTCCGTGGAAGGTGCAGAAACTGGGGCCTCCAGTAGCTGCTGCAGCGGGGCCTGCTCCAGGTGTCCGGGGGCCGACCACGAAGGGGCCCCGCAGGGCGGTGGCCCAGACTCTAAGTCCAGAGGCGGCGCTTCTCCAGGGCCCAGGGCCAGCGGCCCTGCGAACCACGGCTCCACAGCCATCGGACAGCCGACCCTGTGCTCCTGCAGCCTCTTCGGGCCGGGAGCCCCGAACACCTGGACCTGCCTAGGCCTGGGGGAGCAGCGGCGGCGGCCCACTGGCCTCTGCCCGCGCCGCCCCGCGGGGCCTTCGCCTCTTTTGAATTTCAGCACGCGCAGGACCGCTCAGCTCCTGCGCTGCGCACCGGCCCAGCGCACTGTGGGCACCTGGCACGCGGGAGCTGGGAGCAGCTGAGGGCGGAGACACAGGTCGCCGCTCCGCCCGCATCCCTGGGGGCGTAGCAGCACACCAGAGCGTTTCTCTCCCTTTCTCTGAGATGGATACAGTACAGAGGGGTCTAGGCTCAACCCCAGCAGGTGATCCCCCAGAGCCCAGACTCCCATGGAGCAGGGTAACTGAGAACTAGGGACTTGCTCCTTAGGAGTTCCTTCTACAATAAAGATCATCGTATAGATGTTTATTCCACAGCCTCATCCAGCGGGTCTTGTTGCTTTAAAACAAAGAGGTTCTACCACCCTGACCTGATCCCAGAACACACTTCTGCTCCTGACACTTGGTAGATTTTATTTCTTGTTATGTGCAAAACCTGACAGGCTTGAGGACAGCTAGGAAGCCAAGTACATTAATTTCAAGGCTGGGAGTAAAGAGAAGTGTCAGGCCCATGTCACCCTCAGCATCTTGGCTGTGCTGAGCCAGCTGCTCTCCATAAAATGAGTTGTTTGCTGGGCATGGTGGAGCACGCCTTTGCCCATTACTCTGGAGGCAGAAGCAGGATGATCTCTGAATTCAAGGCCAGGCTGGTCTACATTTCAAGTTCCAGGCCAGCTGGGGCTACAAAGGAGACCCTGTCTCAAAAAGACCAAATAAGTAAAATGAGTTGTTTATGAACTCTGCCTTGTGTGGCTGCAGAGGTGACAACCAACAAAATGCTCAGAAAGTGTGCAGTTAACTGCTGTCATTCAACAAATATTTCACATGGTCCTGGGAATGACAGAAAACAAGTATTCCCATCTTCCTAGAGTGGTTCTTTTGTTTTTTAGTCTCATGTACCACAGGCTGGCCTTAAACCCCTGATCCTCCTGCTTTGTACTGGAGATGTAACCAGGTTATTCTGCATGTTTGCCAGGGTCTGCTTGACTTTCAGCCTGGCAGCAACAAACAAGTGTAGTGGGCTGGGGCAGCGCACTCTTGATGTTCTTCCTCTCCACCCTACTCTGTCCTAACCCTAAGCTCTCCCAGGAGAGTCTTATAGCCCGTCCCCCTCCATTCATAAAATGGAAAGCTTTCTTTTTCCTCTTTCTTTTTTTAAAATTTTATTTAAAAAACCTTCGGTGCAATATTAAAAAGCAATACAGCCAGCTGGAGCAACAACTGTCAGAAAGAAAGGATAGGGGAGAAGAGGACCCAGGGCTCCCCCACCCCCAGCTGTTGTCCAGAGGCTGGAGGCCAAGGCAGGGGGTGGCAGCAGGCTGGGTATGGGACATGGTGGTGGGGTGAAGGAAAAACCACCCACCAGGATGTACAGGCAGAACAAAACATAAGATACATCTGGCTGAACTGAAGAGGGTCTTGGGGGCCACAGGAAGCTCCCCTATTTTTTTTTTTCCAAAAGTGTCCTGGCCTGGGGAGGAAGGGTGTCCCTGGGTAAATAGGTAGGCCAAGCCCCACCCATACCCCACAGCTGTGGAGAAGGGGATGTGCCAAGGGGTAGAGGTGTGAAACAAAGGGGACAGATGAGTGAGGAAGAGCACCCCCTCATTAGAGTCTATTAAGAGGGCAGAGGGTAACCCCTGTCCAGTTCCTGGACTATGGGGATGTCTGGGGTGATTCAGGCTGGGATAGTTGGGGCAAGGGCAAGGCTGGGTGCTCAGCCTAGAAAGCCATCAGGATCATCATCCTCAAAGTGGCCTTGCTGAAGCACCTTGATGTGGTGCTCATAGATCTTCAGGGCTGGGCCTAGGCGGATGGACAGGCCTGTCAACACATCTGTCCGTTGCATGAGCAACAAAGACTTGCCATCAATTTCCTGGGCAAGATAGAAAGAGAGCAGGGTCAGTGCACACTGGTGAGGCCTTGTGTGTGTGCAGATCCATGCAGTCCTGGGCTGAGAACTCACCTGCTCTTGGAACGCAGTGGCCTGCTCTGGAAAGCCTGCCTCTGTGAAGTATTCCACCACGTCCATGACTGTCCACTCCACTGGGTCAGTCGGCTTCTCTTTTCGACCGGAACTGAATCAGAATGGAGAGGCAGCAGTGAGCATGACTGCTGCTCTGGTTGTCAAACGTACCTGGGTGCTCACCCCAGTTATCATCAGTGCCCCAACTTACGGACAGGCAAAGGGTGTTCCATCTGCCCCCGGTAGGGCTGGTTTTCCTGGGGGCAAAGGCACAGGAGATGGTGAATCTGGAGCAGCTGCAACACAGGCTGGTAAAGGAAAAGCAGATGACACTGTCTCCAATTGGGGTTCACAGATTACCAGCTCCCCTTCCCTACTCTTAAGTTCCTTACCTGATCCCCCTTCCTTATTCAAAGCTGTCATCGAGAACACCTGGCGGGTACCGCTGCCAGGTGCCGGCCCCCGCCCTTCATCCTGGCCCTGATGGGGCCCACAAGGGGACCATTCCTTGACCCTTTCCTTCGTACTCTGAGAACTCCGCTCGCCATTAAGCTGGTGGTGCTGAGCACCTGCGGGGCGGTCACTCTCAGGCACTTCTGAGCCCTCTGATACATCGTCCTCATCATCTTCATCATCCTCCTCTTCCTCTTCTTTCTCAAGCACCCGCTCTTCTCCACCTCTCTGGGGCCAGAGAGAGAAGGAGGCAAGGTTAGGGGCGCTTCTAATCCCGCACCCAGATCCCGAGATCCCGAAAGGAATTCGGTGCCCGATGCCACCTTTAACAACAAGGAGTAACTTTTATGCATTCACTCGGTGCCAGACTCCTTTTAATAAATAAAGCCCTGGATGGCCAAATCTCACTAAACTCGCTCAACAACCCCAAGGGGTCGCTACTGTCATCAAGCCGCGTTTACAGCCGAAGAAACTGAGGCTCTGGGAGATCAAATCACTTGCCAAGGTCACCACTCGCAGAGTTCGCAGGGAACACGCGCAAAGCCCCGGCCACCAGACGCCCAGTTCCCTCCCGGGACTCTCGTTCCCTCCACCAACTTCGCCCGCACCTGCCGGGCGCACGGCGCCCCCGCTTCTCGGCACGCTCACCTTGCTCCGCGACGCGCGGGCGGTTGGCGGCGACCGTCCGGGCCTGTCCCCACGGGGCAGCGCGAGCGCACCGAGGCGGGTGCGCTCCAGGCGGCCCCGCGCCGCCGCCTCCTCCTCTAGCAACCCCTGCACACGGCCTCGGGTCAG